CGCGGAAACGACATTGCTTTTGAGATCATGTTCATTGCCTTGAGAATGAGATCATGATCAAGGCACCGAGCATGATCTCAGAAGCAGCACGTCATCAAGTGTGCTCGGTGAAAGGCAAGACCTCTGGTCCGATAAAATAAATTTCAGCGCCGAGAAGGCCCTGAAGGCCCATAGGGATGAAGAAGTACACTTTTGCAACAGAGTCTCAGACTGCCGTATCCGTAGAAATACAAAAGATGGACTTCTACAACGCCGGGTCACAAACTTCCCGCGCTTGCCGTGATCTGTTGTCTGTCCGTGTCGTCCGAAGAAAGCATGGAGGGAGCGGGCGCAAGAGCCAAGGAGAGCATTGCGAGCGTGTGGAGGCGTCGCGCCACCGCGCTCTCGTTGGTGGGAAGCAATGGCGCCTTGCGTCATGTTTTTTGTTTCTCGCTGTATTTTTTGTCTTTGTTTTTACTATGCTTGTTCGCCTGGAGTTTAGACGCGGGGGCGATGGCTTGCTTGTCTTCTCTTTAATTATGGTACAAACCAACGGCTGTCTCTTCGCTGCGTGAAACGAATTACTGAAATACCTGATATTTTCCCTTGAACCGAAAACCGATAAGAAATTATTCGGTTTCACTCCGGAACAAAATAATAAATAATGTTTCGATTACGTTTCCGTTCCGCCCAAAAATATCGTTTTTTTCGTTTTTCGTTTTTGGTTTTCGTTTCGTTCCGATACCCTGATAGCAAGTGATCAGGTGAACTTCAATGGGGTTTTAGCTTTCCGCGATGGCCGGTTTGTTTACGCGAGACCTAAGGCAAACCGGCAGCTCGTCACTACATGAAAAACAAGTCCAAGCTAGCAAACTCAAAAGACGGCGAGATCTGCTGAGCCGCAACTTCTTAATAAATAGCTTTCTCGAGTAAATCGCCGCATCTTTTGTTGTATCGGGCCCCTGTCCCATGCCGCACTAGGTAGTGGCGGATGCGCCTTCCGAACCGTACCCGTATTTGAACGTACACTTAACAACGTCTATCGTGTTCATTAGTTCCGCGCGTTAAGGTAAAATGAGACAACATAACGCTTACCTTGGGGAGTTTTTACTTACCTCAACGGTCTGTTTGGGAGACATCCGATGAGCAACGAAGCGCGAGCGTAGTCGTGGTGCTAAAGCTAAGATTAAAATACCTCAACATGTGGGCGACAAGAACTACTACTTGCCTCAGCAAACTTTCTATCTAGCTTCTCGCAAGAATAAGGCTGACGAAGAAAAACAGTAAAACACAGAGTGCAGCAACAAAAACGGTAACACGAGAAAACAAGCCAGCCAGGGCAACATCGGATTGGATTGGATCTGTTGAGTCGACAAGCATATCTCTGTGCAAACGAGGCAAACCACTGGTGCAAACGCGGTTGGCGCATTTATTGCACGGCACACCAAATATATAAGGAAAAATAATTTTAACCTTATTTAAGTCGCATGCGTTACAAGAACAGCAGGTAATGAGTATAATAAATATTTTGCACAAATAAAGAACCTAGTTTCGTTTTCGTTTGAGGCGTCACATACGGTAGCGCAGTTTGCACGACTATTATGCAAAATAGTACAAGTTACCAGAGGTCGGCATTTTAGGTCGCCCTCACTCACCCTCACCCTCACAGCCACACTCACCTAAGCCCCTCACTCACCCTCACCCTCACAGCTACACTCACCTTCAGCCCCTCACTCACCCTCACCCTCACCCTCACAGTCACACTCACCTTCAGCCCTTCACTCACCCTCACGCACTCACCGCCCTCACGCCCCTCGCTCACTCATGGCCCTCACGAAACTCACCGCCCTCACGCCACTCACCGCCCTCACGGCCCTCACCGCCCTCACGGCCCTCACGCACTCACTAGAGCACTATATAGCTCCTTCGGAGCAGAGTAGCGCAATCTAGAACGCCGTCTCTCGGCGACTAGCGGCGAACGCCCGGAGGTTCCAACTGCGGTCAGAAATGCATGGAGAACGTGAGAAAATCGTTGTTTCTGCAGTTTTGTGGGGATGTGCAGAATGGAAATCATTTTTGACATAATAATGAAACATTTTAGAATAATATGCGATAAGTTTTGTGCCATACAAGGACGTAACTTTTTTTTAAAAAATTGCCTGAGCGGCATCATGCAGCAGACGACACGGCGACGTCACACCATTCACGTGACCCGCTCCGGCCAACCCGAAAAGCCCATCTCCGCTGCGAGCAAAAATCGTCTGCTTCAAACGCCATTGCCTTGGAAATTGCCTTCTCAAAATTTGCACACGCATCCGATATTATTAAAACTTTGATAAAGTGTTTAGCGCTTTACTAACTTCACGACAGGCTAGTTTTGAAAAATGTGAACTCGCCATTAGTTTTTTAATCAGCGGTGTTATGTCGATCTCCATGTATTCTCCCATAGGGCGGGCCGCCTCCTGGAACCCTGAGTACCACGTGACTCGCGACGAACCGCTCTGTCGGCCATGTTGTCGGCAAAACACGGGGTTCAAAGGATTGCGCTACTCTGCTCCGTAGGAGCTATATAGTGCTCTAGCACTCACAGCCCTCACGGCCCTCACGCCACTCACGGCCCTCACGCCACTCACCGCCCTCACGCCACTCACCGCCCTCACGCCCCTCAAGCCCCTGCGGCCCTCACACCCCTCACGCACTGATGGCCCTCACGCCACTCAGGCCAGCTTCAGATGGGGCAATTTCGCCCAGAAACTACGTCGCAACACCAGCAACACGGGCCGCCCGCGATCACACGCAGCAACCAATTGCTGCAATTTGCCATCGTCATCATAAAATTTTATTTTTCTTGCACTATTTAGACACAATTACATGTTATAAACGTGTTTTTATGCATTTAAATCTCGTTAAGAATACTAATGCACCTTTCTGAAACAGTTTATTTCCAAAAAACGATCGATTTCAAACCAGAACCAAGTCTTCGGTGTCATCATCACCGGCACGAGGTATCACGTGAAAATTTTGCGTCCCTGATTGGATGCAGCCGCTTCAAACGTATGCAAATTGCTCCGAGTTGCTTGCTTATTTCGAGCCGGACCCGATCTCAGCAATTCGTGTCGATCTAGGGAAAGCTAGAGAACAACCCGCATTAACACCAAAATTGCTGAGAAAGATGCTCGATCTGAAGGGAGCCTCACGCACTCACCGCCCGCACGCGCTCATGGCCCTCACACACTTCATGCACTCACCGCCCTCACGGCCCTCACGCCACTCACACCCCTCACGCACTCACCGCCCTCACACCACTCACGCGCTCATGGCCCTCACGCCACTCACGCCCCTCACGCACTCATGGCCCTCATACCCCTCACCGCCCTCACGGCCCTCACGGCCCTCACAGCCCTCACGGCCCTCACAGCCCTCACGGCCCTCACGGCTGTCACTCACCCTCACTCATAAATTTTCCTGGTTCAGAAACTCACTCACCCTCACCTCACCTGTGAAGATGAGGGTGAGTGAGGGTCCTCATGAGTGAGGTTTGCCGAGGTATGCAAGTTACACTCGCGCCCTACCAGGCCTTGTACTAAACTAGCAAAGTTGCCACCTACAGTAGCTCTACACTAAACTAAACACAACTATTTTGTCTCGTGTTGCGTAACTTTTCCGACTTGCCTAGAGTGCAATAAAGCAACAAAAAAAAAATATACCGAAGAAGAAGAAATCAAGAACAGTACTTCTGCCAAACCAAATGATTAAAGGGGTACGGAAACGAAAAGACGTGACCGCAAAATATCTATTTCTCGCCTAGTCTGCCAGTGAGAAGCGCAATGCGTATCGCGCTCGCGACGTCATTAGTTCCTGCACTGCCAATTGGTTACTGTAGTTGCGAGCGTTGTCGCTTGGTGGCGTCCACGCGTGACAATCTCGCCTGGTAGTAATATCCGGGGACTGTACGCCCTAGCATGCCCACAACGTCTTTCGCGGCAACACCGGTATTTTGTGTGCCACGAGTTCACCGTGTTAGTTTTACACTGCAGTAATAATAATAATAATTTTTATTTGCACAGTTGCAATTTCCACTCGGCAGCGTGCAAGGCTAGGCAGAAAGGCTGAGAATTACGCAGGTGCGCCTGCTAGCCTGTCGCCAAGTGGGGAAAGGGATCGGGAGAGGAAAGGAAGTCGAGGGAAACAGTAAGTAGAAATAACCGTTAGTACCAAGCACTGGTGCGATACTTTCAAGCTATGGGGCCATATTTGAGCGCGCTATTCACAGCACATCGGGGGTGGGGTTTAGTTGCATCCTCAGATCAAGTCCCTACCTAACGTCTGAAAAGAATGGCGATCTTGATGGTCTGGAATGCACGTTGCGGAAGCTTTAACATATATAACGCAGTAAACGCGATAGCATTCTTCGCCAAGTCATATTCAGGACTGAGTAACTCCACGAGCGAGCCATACTGCTGCAAACTGGCACTGCTTCTAAAGAACTCATGACGCGACAGCATTTTAACAGAGCTTCACAGACTGCCACCAGACGCAATTCTGAAATCTGTTCATTTGTTTTCAGATTAGTCTTCTTGAAAGCTAATCTGTTTATGTTGTGCCAGCAGCCCAGAAACACTAGTCTAGGCTAGTGTTTCTGGGCTGCTGGCACAACATAAACTACATCTAAACAAAGAAATAGTAAGTGGGAAAACTTTCGTTTCCGTACCCCTTTAAAGCCGTTTCCTCTCAAGAAGCTTCATTGCACATCTGAGCTACTATATCAATTAATAACAATATGTGGGGATTGACTCCTAATTGAAGCATTTCATGCTTCATAATAATTTACGAGAGAATATCAATCTCTATCTGATGTACCAAACAAGCTGCTGTGCTGGATGATGATGATAGAAATAATTGATATTGCATCACAAGGACGGTCTTATTTTGTCTAGTCACTGAGCGTAAGAGAAGCGGAGTGTGGCAAGACCCTAGCAACTCACGTTCTTGCAGCACAGAGGAAGCAAAGCACAACACTGTTTTAACCACTTCACTTTATTAGAGGAGGAAACAAAATCTATGGTAAAACATGGCACTTCTAGGGCGTCTCGCAAAAAAGAAATGAAAAAAACACAGGCCGACTTATAAGCATGTAATATATATATATATTTATATATATTTATATGTTACGAAGGGAAATAATGCAGTGTGGACAGCCAGGTTTGATGCAGTACAGATAACACCTATACTTTTCCTGCGCTGCTCGGAAGAAATAAAAAAAGCGACAGCTTCGCCTAGCGAAACTGAAACGAGAGAGCGACAAAAAAAAAAGTTCCGCAACTCGAAATTTACACACCACATGTTGTGCGCAGCGACAGTACCGGGCTTCGATAGATCGAGGTGTGCACTTCTTTTACCGACAGTAAACCATTAGACCGTTACAAGTCGCGAAACAGCTGAACAGACGAAACGCGAGTCAGTATCGGTGTGCCGTTGTCGCGATGTGCGAGTGTAGAAACCAAAAGGAAAAATTAGCAGACGGGCTAAAACCTAACAAGCCATTAAAGGTCTGCGCGCAAACGCTACAACACGTAAAACAACATTAAACCTATCCTTCGTAAAGGGCCCCGTCACAGAAAACGCAGAGTGCTAAAATCTAGCTAGTCACGATAAAAACACGGTCTCTTTAAAAGCACATGCACTTGGGTTTTCTCTTCTCTTACTCATCATCCAAAAAGGCATCTGGAAGCTGCGCTTTACATTATTTAGCAATAGACGCTTCGTTTGCTTCGAGAAAAAGCAATGTGCAACGACAATAGGCACCTACGACGAGAGTTTGTGATCATGCTGCAAAAATAGACTACGAACTACGCCGTCGTGGGACACGAAAAGCTCTCACAAACACACAAACTGCACATTTCTCCCGTCTTTCTTTCAGAACGAGGAACTTTCGGACAAATTGCATGTCGACAGAAATCTGTGCATCGATTGCCATGCCTCCAACACTTCCATGTTTTAAGGCTCGTCGCTAAAGCACGGCTGCAAACTGCACCGTCTTTCTCTAAAACAATGCATTAGCCTTTTCCCCCCGCCAAAAACAACGGATTTCTTTACATTTCATTATTGTTTTTAGGAAGATATTGTACTCGGTGCAGGAACGAGGTTCGTGACACTTTGTTCCAAGGCCTAAACAAATAACATGTATTAGCTGTATTATTTGCACTAATAGCCCAAAACCAGCAATAAACTGTCAACACACCGATGAGTTCTTTTTTCTTTTTGTGTTTTTGCACACTCAAGTGCACGACATCAGTTGTGTTTTTGACACGCCCTTTTTCTGACACCTTTTGATCAGAACGATTCGTTTCAAAGAATCCTGGGCCCAAAACGGTTCTCGTTGTTACAGGGCGAGCGGCGCGGCCCGACGCAACGCTGACGTAATGCAGTAGCTCTACTTAGCCTCACTAACCTTAGAGACGAAGGCAAGGTTATATATTTTTTTTACAGCGCAAAAGTCGGCGCGGCAGCGCTTAGATAATGTTGGCCCGGTTGGCCGTCAGGCCGGCGGAGTCCATCACTTTGCCGACGAAGTTGACGATGGCTGAAGCCGGCTGTTCCGGCTCCAGTTCGGCAAAGAGGTGGCACTGGTTGTCCGTCTTGCTAGCCGGCTTGCGGGCCACAAAGCCGAAGCACCTGCGACAATGTAACAGACATTGGATTCCCTACTGATGCTCCAGCTCTCAATCACTACAACCTCGAGAACAGTCAGTATTTTGTGAGTGTTGTTTGAACGAACAAATTAATTTTCTATGGAAGAATTTGAAATGCCAACTGCATGTAATTTAGTTTTATTAAACTTTTGTTAAATGCTCTGGGGTTTAAAATGGCAGTGAAAAGAGCAGTTTCTTGGTCACATGATGGTGTAAAATTCCTACACAAAGCTGCATGTCAGCTGGGATTTCAAAAAAGCCTGCTCACAAACCTAATCTAGGTACTCAGAAACTTTCGTGTCTATGACGCTGCCTCCTAATTTGCAATTCTGCAACATGCAGTACATAACAAGGATTTTGTGTTTTAGATATTATTTTAGATTAAATATTTTCTAGAGAATCTTTTTGAATGGTTTATTTTTCATTGCAAGTTCAGAAATGACCAGGATTTACTTTTTGTTAAACTTCCAATTTTCCAAAAATTTAGCATTTGGCAGAGTTTAATCTTGTTATATTTCCAATTGTCCATAACCATGAATAAAAAGAAATTATATCCCAACACACAAGCATCAAAAGACACACAAGCGATTTTAATTGTGAGCAAGACATCCAGAACCCTGCAGGATTGCAAAAGCACATCCTCCACCCCTTGCAAAATCCCAAATGGCATGGTCTAAACTAAAAAACAAAACAGCGGTTAGCAGAATCGCATGTCTAGATTGGCTTGTCGTGACCAGCAGCAACATTCACCAGTTGTTTTGAAGGACATTGACAATAATTTCTCTTTGTCACCCCTCCAGAGTAAAAAGTGAGAATAGAGCAACTTCACTTCTGAATCACCACTGACCTTGCTCCCTACTAAGACTAAAGTGAACTGCCCCTGACAGTTTTTTGCCACGGCGACCTTGAAAAATAGAGTTCTTAGGAAAAATCCGGGATGACCAAACGTTTACTGTTCAATGTTTTTCCGATTTTTAGGATTTTATTCGATGCCTTGGAGCCACAGTATAGCACAGCCTTTCAATCAAGACGTCGATCAAATTGTATCTCCCGCGACCGAACGACCTCAGACGGGAACGTCTGCTCCAAACGAGGCATGTACCTGGAGGTGACCGTGACCCCAGCATCCTCGTCCTTCTGCGTCCAGCGGCGATCCTCAGGGTCCGTCCCGCAGAAGCTGATCGCATTCAGCGCATAGTGCCTCCGGAAGAACAGCCTGCACCAAATTGCCGTGCACCACACTCACTCATCTATACACAGCAACACATTCCAAATTTTGGCATTTCTATAAGTCTGTTCCAAGACACGATAAACAGCCTTAAGCATCCCACAGCTGAGACTGATTCTCTCATAGCTTGGAAGCAGGAGGGTTCATAACTTGCAGCATGTCCCACACCAGCTAGCTACAGCTGGAATGCACGTTGCGGAAGCTACTGCACAGAAGCGTTCATTGAGAACTCTTCGGTGCAGTGCGAGGAAGCAATACCTGTGTAATGTGGGGAAGCAACACCCATAAGCCGGCTTGCTAGCCGGCTTACGAGTGTTGCCTCCCTGCAGTGCACAGGTGTTTGGTGAGAAGCGTACTCAATGGAGTTAACCCATTGCAATAATGCAGGAGCATTAGTTGGCAGCGATGTCTTAACAAAACATGCTCATCATTCGTGCTTCTTTTGTTGTTGTTTTTGTGTCAAATTTGATATTGAAGAAAAAAACTTTCGCATATAGCAAGCAGGCTTATAAATCTGCCCGATTAGGATAGCTGTCACAATTTTGTCATTTCTATGCCATAGTTGATATATATATATATAGCTATAGTAAACTTAACTGAGCTTTGCTATAGTTGATATATATATATAGCTATAGTAAACTTAACTGAGCTAAGTGGACAGGTGGAAGTTTGGGAACAACCTTCACCGAGTTTAACTGAACTTTCATTTAAGCACAGTGCATGGTAGTGAAAGGCTTGGAGAAACTATTCAATATTCAGTTTGAAAATATTCAGCTAAAACAACAACCGTAAGACACCGGGCAAGTGCCTACTCAAAATTTGGAGACAATCGCGAAAAAATGAGAGATGGGTGCTTGTCCGGTCATCAATTTTACATATAAAGGACGACGGCCATAACCAAAGCAGACTTTCTGCACACACGTGAAACCGAAGGGCCCGCTTCCGAGAGGGCGAAACCCACTTTCGGTTGTTGTCGGTGAGTGTGATGCCCAGGGAGGAGACCTTGAAGTGGACCACCGTGGGCACGGGGGGCGGCGAGATGGCCAGGAGCTCGGCCACGGCCCGCCGCACCGCCTGGGGTCCCGTCAGGGACTCCATGTCCATGGTGCACAGGTAGAGCACGTTGCACGCTGGAACGGACACGGACATTCGTTTTGGAAGCGCTCGGGGCGTGGCGTTAGAAACGGGTGCCTCACCCGCTCCCTGCTGCATGAGGCTCGAGGCGGTGGTAGCCGTGGTAGGTGCCACGCTCCTGTCCACCACGTCGCCACCCGTCCAGAAGGGCTCCCCTCCGATCTCTGCGTGGCAAAACATGTCAGCGCAATGAGCTTCCCTAAAAAGCTTTTCCTCTTTCCTTTATTCAGTTCCTCTCCCTAAATGTTTAAAACTCTTCAATTCAGGGATCTCCAACTATCTCGAGGATCTCTTCTGAATGGCAGCAAAGTACTACAAAATCCTATGGACCTTGTAGAGAATCGTGCACACACTGGGGAATGTTTGCCATATAGTTATGCACTAATAGATGGCTTAGATATTCTACAATAGTGCTTACATGGAAGAACACATTACTTGGGGCAGGGACAACCACGAAAATTTAGAAGGGAACTCCTCAGAGGTGTTGGTTTCATCCCCTCCTCTTCGAGCAGAAAGCATGCAAAGCAGTCCACCTTTCGCTCCCCCTTCTCTACATTCAGAGTTTGAGAGAGGAGACTAAAAAGACTCTCTGTCTTACAGAAAACGGGGGTTGTACGTCGTCCTTTTAACTTATCTGCACACTATGTGCAGGATGGCATCTCGAAAAAGATGGGTCTGCGTTTTCAAAGAACAAGCACTGGATGGTTTACTTACTAGCTAGTCAAAGCAAACTTTAAAACAATAACTCTTTATTCTAATGAGGCATTGTATGGAAGGACATGTCATACCACCCTGCAGTAAGCTGGGTGTAGGTATCTAGTTGGTGCATTTATATGCCTAATTAATTACATTCAAAACATAAAAAACAGATCAGAGTATTACTTTAAAAAATCCTGCCTCTACTGAAAGGAGGATGAGTTGCATGTTGTATTAATTAAGTCATACCTAATGCGAATTTCAGGCCTAGGAATTGGTTTTATTAGGTACTTCCATAACTTATCCTTAGAAATAGTGCCAGATAGTTTGGCCTACACAATGTTAGGCTCTCGTGTCTGATTATGCACTGTCCATGGAATAAGCGGCGAGGACTCACCAGATTCCGGCAACAGCAATCGGCAAGGAAGAGCCAAAGGCGTGATGGAGTGCTGGTACACCAGAGCGGACAGGCTCCCTGAAATTAGACAGCACGCAAATGCAACACTGTAGAAATGAAACAAAGAACAGCTATACTCAAAATGCCAACAAATATTGGCATGCTTCGTGTCATATTAGCAAAAAAATTTGGGCAGATTGAGCGATCAGAATCACAGTTCAAACAGAATACTAAAAGTATGTGAATGGCTCAGTTCAATGGGGAATACACGCATGCAGGTTGCTGCCAGTCGGCAGAACCGTCCGAGTGTTGGTGGGCGGTGTAATCGACAAATCAGGAGTGGCATGATTATTTGGGTGGCCATCTTGTCTACGATTTCTGCTTCCTGTGTTAGACTTAAACACAGAATGCGAGGCCAACACTGAAACTCCGTAAACTGAGCGGATGTTGTTAACAGCCCGACGAAAAGCTCTTACCGAAGACGGGTTCGTTGGCGCAACCCTTGAGCCGAACACCCTTGGCGGTCGGCTCGATCAGGAAATGCCGTACCAGTTCGTTCGACAGGTCGCCTGCAGAGGAGAAAATAGAAAAAAAGGTAAATTGCACTGGCCCAACGTTGGGCTGACATACCCAACATATGAACCACATGGACCGGTATATGTTGGCACAGGAAAGTGCAAGAAGATTGGTGTGACAATGCCAACATTGGGCGGATACAGGCCAGATGCACGTAAGCTACGCTGGCACAAGAGGGTAAAAAAGAGCTGTCAATGTTTCAGGCCCAATATTGAGATGACATAAATCGATGCATGTTGGCCCAAGACAGTAAAAAGTAAAAAAAAACGTCGGATTGATGCAAACAGATGCGGAAAAATATATGCTGGCGCTGTACCTACTAGGATGGGACAACCCAGATCAAATAGTGCAGCTATCATGATCTTGTGACAAACGTTGACCTAACATTTTTCCTAGTAACAGTGTGAAATGCTTGCATTGATATGCCAGCGTGACCCTCTCATTTACCTAACAAAATAGAGGGCGTCTCTTTCGGATGCCAGGCACCTGATAGAGACGCCCTGCTGTTCTTGCTCTATCCGTAGCCATAGTACTACACATCAAAATGCCCACAAACACAAAGAGCCATTGGCCAATTAAAGCGTGCGTACCTGTTCGGTTCTGGACGTTAGGTGGAGGGCTGGCCACCTTGAGAGCAAGCCCAAAGGCACCTGGGAAGGAGTTGCTGTCTCGCACGATGAAAGTTCCCGGTGGCTTGCTTTTCAGCACGCTGATCGCTGGAGGACACCGAAAGAAAACATGCCCTGCTGAATATGCCCCCGCTTAGAATAGAAATTGAACTTTCTGCCCATTGTTTAATGGATCTTTGGGGAAAAAAGCCAGTAAAGATGACGCTGGACACACCTTCTTCCCTGCTGATGTTGGGCTTGTACCAATATTTGGAGGTGTCCTTTACAAAGACGGGATGGTGGTGAATCACTTCGGGGGAGTCTGCAAAATTAGAATGCATTAAGGAATCTGCCTCTCTTATTTTTTAGAAGACTAATGGATGCTACTATTGATGCTTTGCTTAACAACTGACACACCAAGGAGCACGATGGGTTTGTAGGTACTGCACTGCACATGCCAGACCCGTGTGTAGGGCAACATTCGAAATAAATGACTAAAATGAGGCAAAGACGAACCCACGCATGAAGTGCAATTTGGTTTAGGGTTTGGCTTAAAAAAAAAATTACCACTGAAGATGCCGGCTTGTGCAGTGGGAGTAACTATGAACCAAGTGTGCTTTTTGGAGTTCTAATCATTTAGCAAAAGGTCTATTGACTGCTGCAAATTTTGGATTCTTTATCACCCAATTCGGCACTTGAGGAAAGCAAGAGGAGTTGCTTTCCTTTTGAGATCATGAGCAATTGTATGATTTGAATTTTACAATCTTGACGGACTTTGTAAACTCGAAGAGAACATCGACTGCACAATCTGGAGGGATAAAGATCGTACAGTGGGCATCAATATGAGCCGGCTCAACAAAACGGCAGTCGGAGCAATAAAAATCCCGCATGGAGCGCCTCTGATGCGATAAGTTCTTGGGAATGAGACTGGAATGAACTGGCACGATTTCATGCCAGGAAGGAGGGAGGGTGTCACCGCCGGTAAGCCGTGAATCGGTGGTGAACTTCATTCATCGTCCAGAGTGTAGATTCTGAATTTGATTAATGGTATTCACCACCTATGCACGGGTGATCGGTAGTAACATCCTGCTCCGGCAAGCGTTCAGTCGAGCCAGCTCATTTGATGCCCACCCTATAGCCTTGAATGAAAGAAACGCGAACGACGGAGCAACAGTCTCCCGCCCTCATTTCGTCACAAAACAGTTGTTAAAAGAAGCCCTCGTGCAGTTTATTTTGACAGCTTAAAGCGCACCACAAAGCAGCTTGTGGTGCGCTTTAAGAGTAGTCACGGTGCCAAAGGGATGACCCTTTCGGTAAATAAAATATGTAGTGTTGCGCGAACATAGAAATTTACAAATAGCAGCTTCGAGTAATAAGCTGTTCGATGCTCGCTTCAAGATGACCTGCGATATTCGTATTTTTCGAAATGTTGATCGCGGTGGGTTAGCCCTGTTGAGTGCGCTTCCTACCGTGCACCGCTGCACTGTGGAGAAGCAGCACTCGCGAAGCTCGCTTTCGCAGTGTTGCTTTCCCACAGTACATCAGAACTCGGTATTGGACTTTTTGAGGCTACAGTTCATAAATATAGTCAGATTAACATTAACTTAGCTTAGAAATGGACGAGTGAAAGCTTGGGAACAACCTTGTCGAGTTAATCTGGGCTTTTGTTCCAATTAAGCACGGTGCAGTAGTGAAAGGCTCATAGAAAATATTTGATATTCGATTCGAAAATATTCAACCAAAATTCACTCTTGGTTCACGATTAATTTATGCCTATTTGCTTCAGTCTTCCACCACACACGGTGCTAATCGCGAAGTTGACAATACAGTACATGCGTTTTGAATGATGGTGTCATGAATCCGCGACAGAGAGGTACCTGCGAGGGAGAGCATGCTGGACCGGCGAGACTGTCCAAAGTAGACGGTCGGAGAGCTCTGTCCGTTGGGGCTCGTGGGCACCGTCGACGAGAGCGGGAGGCTCTGCTGGAGGGCGTTCAAGGTCGCTGGCGATGGGCTTCGGTCCCTCCGGCTGAGGATGCGCAAAAGATACCCACGTTAGAGTCACGCGTGAATAGGGGATTTTGAGGTCAATGCAAATGGTAGTTTTTGTCGAATATTTTCGGATCAAATAGTTTCTCTACTCCATCGTGCTTAACTGAAAGTCTTGCTGAACTCGTAAAGGTAGCTCCTGAGCCTCCGCTTGTCCATATCTAAGCTAAGTTAATTTCAGTCGAGCCATACTTATGGTCTGGGACCTCTAAAAGTCCACTGCCTACATTGGAATGGCAAGCAAATGATGCATTTGACATCAAATTAAGCCTACAGAAATGCCCAACTATACTTAATTGAGGAGATTTGTAAAGTGTCCTTCTATATGCAAATATCCCCTCTTAAATCTCTAATATATAAAAGAAAAGGGCAATCGTGAATAATGAACGCAGGTTGTCGGGACATCTCTGCCTAACATATACTCTCGCATAATAGCCAGAGTTTAATTTTAAAAATTTTACTGCAGTGTAAATATCAACACTCACAGTTTCCACTTTTTTTTAAATACATAAGCACACAAATGCAATATTTGTAGTTTTCAAAGTGTTGATTGCGGCGCATGAGCTAAAAAAACAGGCACCATGCAGATTCCATGGCAACTTACGCGGACACTGTGACGTGGCGGAATGGCAAAAGTCTGCATAGCAGCGTGCAAGGCAGTTGTTACGGAAATTGCCGCGTGGCGTTTGCTTTCGTCGCTCATGCGTCCCTGCTTCAGCCCCGTTGAGCGCGCTTCTTACCGAGCACTGGTGTAATGCAGAGAAGTAACACCCGCGGAGCTCGGTTCTGCATGTATTGCTTCTCTGCAGTACACCGGTGCTCGGTAAGAAGCGCTCTCAACTGGGCTAACCCGCCGCGGTCAACACTTCGAAAAATATGAACATCGGAGCTCATCTCAGAGCGGATATCGAATAGCGTACTATTCGAAAATACTATTCAGGAATTCAAATATTCGCAAACACAACCATGTTAACATTTGGTGTGTACTAACTGTCTCTTAATTTATACAGTGCAAGACCAGTGAGTAATACTGCAAATGACTTTATATTCAAGATTTGTGGGCTGAAAATTTTGCAAAGTGTCAACTTTTAAAAACTTTTCGTGCACAAAAGTTTGTGATTTAGAGTGATATGCTATGCATTTCTGCATTTCTTAACGTGGGCTGCTATATTCATAATAAATATTGTTTTGGCAATATTTTTCAAGTATTTTTTATTTGCAAAAATTAAGTCAATTACAGTACTTGCACATATCTGAGTTGAAAGTTTCCAGCACTTGCATTATCAAGAGGAGAGTACCATATTTCAATATGAGAAGCTTAGAAGCGACATAAAATTTATTGGGAAGCAAAGACGTTGCTTTAACAGAAAGCAGATAACTTTTACGTGAAAGAAGTGTAGCTTTTTGTTTCCAGTTGGCAGAAAAAGCGCTTGAACTTTTGTTTCTGGGTGGCAGGAAACTTTCCAAGTGGCAAAAAAACAAAGGATTGCGATTGTGTGAGAGATACCTTGCTATTCCCGCACTGAATTCCAGCTCTCTTCAATCAGCATGCCAAATGACCGTTGTCCATAAGGATGACAGATTCCGTTTAACCATTTTCTGCCCACAAGTATTACATACGCAGTTATAAAGATCTGCCATAATGGCAATGTGATCCACTCATCTGACCAAAGTCTTGCAACTGTGACATGGAACATCTGACAAGGGGTCATCTGTTTGCATTCACGAGAAAGAATCACGTGAAACATTATATTGAATTCTTAAACAAGGGCCCAAAGTCTCACAGAACCAGCATCTTTTTGCCGTGAAACTTTACCTCCTGAAAAGATGGGCATTTGAGAAGCAGCGCCGTCTCAGCGCTGGCCTCATAGCGAAAAATTCCCCGTGAAAAGAAGCGCTCAAGTTCCGCAGGCGTCTGCGTTTCTCGTGCGGGAAAGCAAGCGGTAGTCCACAAGTCCAGCAATGCAAAATGCAGCAGCAGTGGGAGAGAAGGAAAGAGAGAGAGAGGGCAGGCAGGTTGAGCAAAGGAAACTGTTAAGGCCTCAGTCACAGACCAAGGATTGTTTATGCAGTTTAGCCATTAAAAGTGCCGAATATCACTTGGTTAGAGGAAAGTTTTATAGCCCTGGAAAAAACGTTGCAAGCTAAGAGTCTTCACCAGCTCAAGCATGTTCAGACAAACAAGCAAGCTTACAAACTCAACATCACTATCAGATCACAGTAGCAGAAAAAGTAACAAATGTTCAAAACCTAAGCAGGCAGGGGTATCTCCAAGCAGAGCGAAAGAACACAATACCAAAGACAATGTATGGCGTGCCGCAAAAACAAACAGAAGCTACGAAACTACAACTTGAGCTTTAAGCACCCATATCAATGTAAGCTAGCTGAACAAGCAAAGAGAAAAGTCAGAAAAGCTACGAAAGAATGGAAAACAATCTGAGACACTTTGCCACCTATGGGGACTGCAGCACTAGGCAGATAAAAGAATATTCATAGCAAAGAAAAGATTATAGCGAAAAGTAAATAAATACTTACCGTGAAAGAGTTGGGCTCTTTGGAGGCAGTCCACCTGAAGAGTCTGGAAGGAAAGAACATGAACATCTACTTATTAACGTCACATCTTGAAGCTGGTTCCGCTAATAGCATTCCTTTATTAAATCATAACAGCCGTAGGCAAACGTCCACCAGGTAGCAACACCACTCTCCTGTTCCCACTAGTAGAATGTAAGAATGTAGTATAAGCAGTGACGGAAGCAGCACTTGACTTTTTGTAGCAGGTTTTGTAGCAGGCATAATATTGGTTTGAAGCAGCCACTGACGCTTTTGGAGCAGATGCCAACATCTGTCTGCTCATCACTTAAAAGAATGCAAAAGTGATTGCATCGCAAAATGGAACACACAGCTTTCTTAGAAATAAGGATCAGATTAGAGTATGTCCCATTTAGAAGTGGTTTTAAAAAATGTTGTAAGCTGAAGCACCACGCGACACTTCAGTTGTCATAAAGTCTCTCTCCCCCCTCCCTTTTTTCACTCGATAGCTTATTTAGCCTGTAATTGTAGTCCCCATAAATTGCGAGCAAAAACCAGAATATCTGCTAAAACGTCTAAAAACAAGAATATGTCCTCCCAAGTTCTCCGAGCCTACAAAACTCAAGATTCCGATATTTGTGGATGGTCGTTTTTGCAGTTCATGATTCATAAACAGACGACACGAAAGCTGTGTCGTCTGTTTTGTCCTCTTGCATGATGCGAAAACGACCATCCACAAATTTATTTATTTATTTCCAATACTACTAACCCCATTCGGGGTTGTTGTAGGGTGGTACAGTTTGAGATATTACAAGCAGAAAAATAATATTCAACACACAATTTGCAGGTAAATATTCAAAGCAAATATAGAAGTCGCGAATGAAAAATTAGTAAACAACTTCAATACAATAGATACACTGCACTTTTAAAAACAGCATAAAATGTTAGTTTATGATGAAAAGTGGGCATCTACGTAATCGAGGAAGATTTCAATAGAAGAGGAATGAACAACGTTTTGAGGCAGGTGGTTCCATTCGTTAATGGTTCGGGGAAAAAAAGAGAATTTAAAGCAGTTATTATGAGCGACGTCTTCCTCGTAAAGCTTGCCATGGTTGTACCGTGTTAATCGTTTGCTTGTATGGATAAGATAATTTTCTTTTGGTAGGTTGAAATGATCGTTGGCTAATTCGTATAGAAATTTAAGTCTAGCTGTTTTTGCTCTTTTTTCTAAAGAGGAGAGACCCAGTTGCCTGCAAAGTTCAGAGGGAGAGACGTGCCTACTATACTTATTGCAAATAAACCTCGCGGCCATTCTCTGAACTCTTTCTATCTTATTGATGCCGGAGACTGTGTGGGGAAACCAGACGACGTTGGCGTACTCGAGCATAGGACGTATTAAAGTTTTGTAGGCTAGTAATTTAGTGGCAGGAGATGCAAATTTTAAGACTCGTTTAAGGAAACTCAGTTTGTTTAGAGCTTTATTAGTTGTGGAGTGAATGTGTGAGTCCCAACGTAAATTTTGACTTATATTGAGGCCGAGGTATTTGTATTCACCGACTTGTTCCAAGAGGTTATTGCCTATCTGGTAAGGAAAGGAGTATTGTTGTCTTTTATTGGTTATGGTCATAAATACAGTTTTATTCGAATTTATTTCCATCTGCCAGTCGTGGCACCAATTTATGATGTGTTGAAGCGCATTATTTAGGTTAATCTGGTCATTTGGGTTATTTATTTGTGAGTAAAGTATGCAATCATCAGCAAAGAGGCGAATTTTTACGTTCACATCTTTGACCAGGTCATTTATGTATATTAGGAACAAAAAAGGTGCCAGTACTGATCCCTGGGGGACTCCCGATGAAACTTTGCCTTTGAATGATGAGTGCGCATTAAGTGCTACGTACTGGTAGCGATCTGAAAGGTAGTCTTCAATCCACCTGAGAATTTTTCCTCCTCCTAGTATAGATTCTAGCTTAAACAATAGCTTTGGGTGAGATACCTTGTCGAAGGCTTTTGACAGATCGATGAATATGGCGTCAACCTGTCCTCTATTGTTTATGACAGTGGAAAAATCGTGAATGCTTTCAACAAGTTGCGTCACTGTTGAAAGGTGACGTCTGAAACCGTGCTGATATGGAGTAAGTATTTGATTATTCTCGATGTGGGTGGAGACATGGTTGAGAACAATGTGTTCGAGCAATTTACAGCAAGTTGAGGTAAGGGAGATGGGCCTGTAGTTCGCAAATTCGTTTTTGTTTCCAGACTTATGAATGGGGATGACTTTCGCTAACTTCCAGTCTTTAGGAAGAAATATTATGAAAATCTACAGTTCCGCCTTAAGAAGTATCACTGTGCTTTAGCATTGTACGAACCAGAGCTGAGTTGAAGTTTGCTGCCGTTTCGATTAACTACTGCACGGAGATATATCCCGATGACTACTGTATTTATTCAAAAATTAATTCATGTTTCCTTTCATTCCCTTTCTCGTTACAGCTTTTTAAAAGCAGAGGTCAGTCTACGATCAAGACCAAAGAAGGTCGACCTTTCGTAGTACTGAGCATAAATAAAAGAGCCAATCCAGGCAATCCAGGCGCTCCCACATGTCAGCTGCTACTCCTAACACACTGGTGCATAGCGGTGAAGCTTGACGAACGCGCACTCGTGCGAGGCAGTGAAGGTTGACGAGAACGACACAATGCAAGGCTAGATCGTAGCCAGATCGTAGTCACGACATGGAGGAACATAGCAGACAGGTTAATTAAGTGATCTCATCGGGAGTAAAAGGCCCTTGTTCCGTCTATTACAGTAGCCGTCGTTTCACTATTTTGCACATTTTTCTCGCGACTTTTAGCTACTGACATCGCCGACATCATTCGAAAATTCGGACGAAGACGGGATCAAGCGCGGTTGATGAGCAATCTCTATACTTTGTTTTGTCTTAACCCTTTCAGACGCTATGTACACGAATGTGTACATCTAAAACACTCACAAGTACAGCGAATGCCCCACCCCATCACTTGAGCTTTTAGTGTGAGTGTGCTGGGGGCTGTGTGTGTTCGAGCCTTCGACTGTGCTCTTACCCAAGATAAAACGAATTATACAGTGAGTAGAGATGTTGTGGAATACATGTTTGTACCATTTTCCCTTTCTTCTACTTTTCAAAATCGACAAAAAGTCTTTATTGCTGCATAAAATAATTGCTGCAAAAATAAATAATTGGTGCATGAAATAAAGAATATCATCATTATCATCATTATTAGTCTCTGACCTTGGTTCATGTAAGGCGTGCGAGGAGGCACGGGGAAGGCGGGGGTGGCCGGCCGGTCCGCCCCACTCGCCGGACTAGCCGACGGACTTTCGTCCGCTGCCCGCGTAGTCCAGGAAGTGGACCCTTCCAGCGATCCGTCGTCTTGGAAGTACTGCACAGAGATTGCCGTCAGTTAGGCTGGTTTGCTCGTCTCAAACTGCTACAGGCATTTGCGAGATAGTAAAGGGGTATGTACCGAAACAATAAAAGTAATCTTGTTTTGTACCAACACACTTTTTTTTTCTTCTTTTGTTGTATTTTGAATATTGAATGAATTTTTATTGAATTTTTTAGCATGTCAAAACGCAAGTTTTTTTATTTGTTGTTCTTTCTAGCTGCCGTCGAGTAAGGGGGCCAGAAATCCGTCGAGTTGCTTTGCAGCTTTTTTTCCCGGCCTCTACTTCATCAATTTGATGAGAAAATAGAGTTGCTGTTACTTGGGCTAGTCGGTAATTCATTGTGCAGGTAGAAGAATGATGAACACCACAGAGTTCAACAAGTGCGAGGAATGGTGTTTGTCATTCTTCTCTTTTAAGCATTAAATTTGCTCCCCAACAATTATGGTTTCCGTTATATTACAAAATATGTCACCCAATTTAAATTTTTGTACAACATAAACGTCTTCCATAATGTATGATTCTTCAAAGGAGATGCAGAACATTTTAGACAGGTATATTTACTTCCACAATAGTAGACTTTGCTACAAATATAAATCATTGCCTGATTTATATTTGTAGCAATCAGAACATCAATTCTGTAGAAATTTGTGGTCAGCATTGCATCCGTAATGAACAAGTTAACTGACCTTGTTGGGAGTTGACTGAGCAACTGGAACCATTTCCCTGAGTTGCACTGGCTCTTCAAACTTGTACGGACCTGTTCAAAGCCAAAGACAAGTGAGTTAGAGAAATGCCCAGCCTTCTATTTCAAGTACAGTTAGTCAGCCACACGTGCATGCAGACATTCAATGCTGGTTACATTCCTGTTTATCCAGAGAAGAAAGAAGAGCCAGCGAAAAGGCCCACCAAAAGTGTGAAGAAAATAATAATTAAATAGTCATTTCAATTTCATGCAAGGCATATGAAGAATAATATACATGCTCGGTTAAACAAGCAAGAAAAATGCAAGCGAGAATGCATGCTGAATGAAGGCTTTTGAAATAATTGTAGCATCCGAGAGCATAAGTCTAGAGTTACAAAAAGAACAAGTTTGCCCACTACGGCGTAACTCACTGCACAGTCCAGCTGCATCAGATTAAAGCCCATTACATCAAAGCTCGCATGCCGTGTTCTCGCAAACTGGTTTCAACAGTTAAGAATGTTAAACATATAAAAGAAAGCTTTTTGTATTAAAAGACGCTCTTAACCTTTCTTCTACAATGTTTCAATTTATCTGGTATCCAAGTCATAATAGTACCGATTGCAGAAGTTAGGAAATGCATATGTTACATGGCAAGAGATAATAGACCTAACCCATTGTTTATAAAATATTAAGAAGAAATTTTCTAAACTACTGTTTTCTTATCTAGAGCTTATTCCAAGTAAGTATGATACTGTACTTTCCACAAGAAATAATCCCAAAAGAAAGTGCCGCAAACTCTATGCTGCCAAGTTCAGAGACATGTGCTCACAACTTCACGTAAAATTTTAAGAGTTTTCATTCCGAGGCATTTAGAGATAATGCTAGATCTATCACAATGGTGCGACCATTTGGCGGAGCACTGTTGCGACGTTCAAAAAAGGGCGACATCCACACAAGACGGGCAGACACGCAAACGAGCGTAACAAAATCCCAAACATGCCGCCTCCTAGAGACCGGATACTGTAGGCACTAAGAAGCTGTTCAGGGGCAATGAAATAAGCACCAAAAGAAAACCCGCAGTACGCAGGTCTATACGCTGGCACGATCGGTCGGCACTAGAGAGCGTAACAGAAAGTGCCAGTGGGACTTGGAAGAAAATATCAAAAAGGGGAAGGTTAGGAATAGTGTTCAACGAAAGCAACCTCCCTTCACCCACCCGACCTCCCTTGGCTATTGTTCCATTTCCTCCTTTATGGATACTATTAAGGTTCCAAAGCTCAGTAAAGGCAGGTACAATCACTCACAACTTGATTGAAATGGAGGATGTGGATTATTATCTTTGTGCTATTTGCACCGCTGTTGCACTGACATTGTAACACTAAAAAAATGACGGTTGATTGTACTAACATACTCCTCCATAGCTAAAGTTCTATGTTTTCGGTGTTTAGTATATTTTTTTTAAATTCAGGTTTCTTTAAAAAGAGGGTTCTGGGCTATTTTTCTTTTTTTACACATTCAGTGTTTTCTGTGTAAATTGGCTATAACATAACCAATCAACACAAGAAACACTAAATCTGCTAAACACCCCCTCCACCACCCCTCCCCCTCCCCCAAAATAAAAACCCTGAATTCGAAAAAGAAAAAGAAATGAACGCTGACAGCACAGAACTTTATCTGTAGCTATTGCATGATCTGGCCGATGCCAAAAAGCGGCCCTAAAGTGGAGTTTGAGGTCGCCTTTTTACGGCGCAAATTTAATCTACACATCATAAGCATCCATGAAAACCGAAAAGCACAATTGTGCGGGGCCTTTTTTTCTATTAAGAACACAAGCATACATCATGTTGTGTCCCTTCTTTCCGATATGCGTCTCAGAAAAAGACGGTGATCTTTTCCCACGTTTTTGGTAAGAAAAAAAAAAGCCATACACAATAATAACTAATTCCCAAGGATGCTTAAGGCATGCCTATTAAAAGTTTGACGGAACATCGCGACGTGCCCATTTTATGAGTAATAAAAAGGGTATAACAAAATTTTCTTGTCTATAATAAGAAATAACGTCAGAAGCAAGCTCACAATTTTGTGTTTGCCAGAATGCTCAAGGTGCGCAGACCGAGTTTGCACCGTAAAAAGACGGTCTGAAAATCGGCTTTAGCACCCTTTCAGGCACCCAAACGGAGCTTCCTAGTGCCTACCTATCCCGCCTCCAGGAGCTCCCTCCACAATCCCAAAGCGATCTCCATCCTCTAACCTGAATCTCTGGCCGGCCCTGGCCTCGTCGTCGCCGCAAACGGCGGATCGCTCAGCAGGGTTAGTATGTGGTCTCTGCTTGGGGTAGTCGGAGCGCCGGGCACGGCGCCGGGCGAGTACGGTGTACCGGGGGTACCGTAGGTATAGGGGGTACCGTAGGTGCCCGGCGTACCGCCAGCGGAGCCGGGACTACTGGGAGTGTGCCTCTTGGCGTTGCTGGGGTCGCCGTAAATGACGGACGACGCAATGACGTCGTGCGGAGACGTACCTCCCGCCGCGACTTGGTCTCGGGCTTGCTGGTGGGAGCGGCGTGCCGCCACAAACGGGCGTTCCCGGTCGAACGAGGTGTCGGACTTTTGGCGCACGATGGGCTGGCTGGGTGCGGGCAGGGGCTGTGGCTGCCACTGGGGGTACCTGCGTCGGAGCGTGATGTTTTGCGGCCGACGTTGTTTTACGTGCGGTTTAAACGTCGTACATCATACGAAGCGTTAACACAACCGGCCACTAATTAATTCCCCGCCAGAATATGTCCGTTTGGAGGCACGGCTCGTGGAAGAAGGCAAGCTGGCCTGACCTGCGCAGAGTGACATCCCTGCTGCTGCTCCTCGACGGTATGATAGGTGAGGTCGGAGCGCTCAGGCCACGGTGAATCGGAGGCTTGCTAGCCGTGTGAACGTGCAACGGCGTCGAATAGCTGCTGGCCTGTGTAGACACAAAAGCAATATTATTAACACTCCCTCGTGTCGTCTATCCCTCGCTAAAAATTTATTTCCCTCTTCAGTAGACTTCTCAGCTTGAACTAAACTTCGGTGTGGGCTATCTTTACCAAATGTAACCGATCTCAGCAACTTTGCGAATCCCATCGCTTCAATTCGCTCATATATAGGCAGTCAATAGGCTTCAGAGAATATGGACATATCTCCACAGCAATTTTAGATAAGAGCACTTTCGATGGTAATACAGTAAAACCTCGTTAATTCGGATCTCATGGGACCGGCAAAAATGTCTGAATTATCCGAAAGTCAAAATATCGAAAGAACAAAGAAAACTGTGCGAAAACGTTTCCCTGTGACATACCTTTATTTTGAGAAGAAATCCGTTATTACCGCCTGCTTTCTGGACGACACTTAAGTGGAGACAGCAACTTTCCTTAGTGCGGTCGAGTGCTCTACCGCACTCGCACTGCCGGAGCTACGCATCCCGTGCGCGGACAATACAGCACAGCAAGGCCTCTTCTAGTTTCGGGTGCACCATCTTCCAAGGCCGCTTTCTTTTCGCGTTGAACTTCTCGCTCTCGAAAACCCGTAGGATGTCGGCCTCAATTTTCACGTACACGGCCAAACTGCTTCTCTTGACGTCGTAACTTTCCGTCCCTTGTCGAGAGACGCCGTCCTCCAAGGCCCTCAGTATTTCCCCTTTCGTCGCTAAATTCTCAGCCTAGTACAGCTGCAACGGAAAACAAGTAGCACAACTGACCAATAATCGGAGCGGCGAAATCGCGACACCCGGCACTATTTTTCCCGAGCGAGCCGACGGCGAGAGTGCCAGTCACGTTGCATTTTTCAATGCGGGGGTGGCCGGCGAAAAATTGAGGGATAAGATAGCTGTTAAAAATGGCGGGCTTTAGGATCCCCGCGTCGAGGCATAAAACGTGACTGTCACTCTCGCTATCGGCACGCTCGGGAACAATAGCCCCGCGTGTCGAGATTTCGCCATTCCGGTCGTCGGTCACTTGTGCTACCCTTTTTCGTTGCAGCTATGCTTCTGCCGCTTCCATGCCAGGAGAGTAACGCGCTGAAGCACGGCAATACAGAGCAAAACTGGTGCGAAACACGGAGAACCGGAAGAGCGAAGAACCATGGGAAAACCGGAAAAACCACGTGTGCACCTCGGATGGATAGCGGTCATACCCTTTGGAACGGACGGTAGCTAGCGCCACCTGCCGAATTCGTCCGAATTAACCGTACTGCGCCGCGTTCCCTCCGAATTAATGAGCGTTTGCTGCTATTGACTAATACATACGTTTGACGGGACCGGATTGGCAGTTCAAATTATCCGAATTTCCGAATTAGCGGGGGTTGAATTAACGAGGTTTTACTGTACTATCTACCGAGATTTAAATATTTATAGACTAATACAAATAATAATTTAAATAAGTGAATTTTAGACAGTAGTTTACTTTTGAAATCTTACTATCGAAATACCATCGTATTATTTAATTACTATCTGAATAAATATCTTTAGATAGTAATATTATCTCATACTACTATTCACGTATCTAGAAAGCGGACATAAACATGGGAGTTGTGTCTGTCCGTCCATCTATGTTCTCTCAATAAATATGTGAATAATACTATCTCTTCACCATCTACCTATTAGAAATTCAGTACTTTAGATAGCAGATAGGAGCACAGTTAGCACTTCAAGATGAAGTAGCATTGATCCATTTCAAAAAGATCTAATCAAATTTATAGTCTGCTGCAATAACGGACTATAGCAGCATTTGTTATCGGAGTAGGGTGTCCCACCTTGAATGAGGGACTTTCGCCGTTCAAAGGCGAATCGCCGCCTCCGTTCTGAAGCTCGGGACTGCGCATGGCAGTGGTCGAACGCAGCTCGGCCATGAGCTGCGCCTCCTTGCGGTGACGGTCGTCCCAGGAACTCTCGCGCCGTGCACGAAGCTTCTGCTGCTGCTTCTGCAGCCACGAACCACTGCGACCACACAAAAAAGGAAAAGCAATGAAAGTGACACACAGTGGGATCTTCCCCAAACACATAGTACCTGGAAGCAGCTCTCAATAAAGTGAAATGGTAAATGAAACAAGAAAGTTCAAGTGCTCCTCTGGTCCCAAACGTCCTGTACGCAGAATGCATTAGCTGTCTATACAAAAATTTGGGCAGTGCTATTACGTAAGGTCACAGCGTCAAGTTGCGATGTCGCACGACCTCCGCGATGGGGTCATGTGACGTGACCATGGCTTCGGGCTGCGAGTCACGTGACACTGCGTGTCTAATGACGTCACGCAATGTGGTCACTTTATGGGATGTCACGTGGCACTGCCACTTGACACCCAATGCTACTACGAGAAGGAATGATGTTGTTGACGTCGTGACATTACGTGACACCACAGCTTCTCACTGTGAGTCACGTGACATTGCGATGTCACGTGACTTTACGTGGCCCAACGCACGTTGCGTGTTAATGTGACCAGATGACCTGTGGTGGCACCGACCATGTGGCCCATGGTGGTGTCCTGCTAAATTCAGCAGGACGTTGGACTGCTAATTACAGCCGATAACAGAACAGCATGGCTATGACTACAGCGATGCAACAGCTACACAGATACGAGCTTCGTGCGCACAAACGATCTGGCACAAATTGAACATATTTACGAAAAACCCCGAGACCGGGACAAACACGAAATCTCAAACACAGTTCCGTCCTCCTTTTTTGTTACAGACATTTTTGTTTGAGACTTCACGTATGTCCCCTTCCCCTTTTTTACCTTACACCCGGAGTTTTTTTCAATTACGCTTAACTTTGCTTCCGTCCGAATGCCTTCTGCATTTAAAATGTGCTCGTAGATCAATGAGGCTGTTCCCGTCAGGCACGACCCACCTGCCCACAGGCTCTGGACTGACGGAGGAGTCGCGCAGCGTCCCATAGTTCCGGTCCTCGGCCGAGTGCCGGCCGGACTCCGACTGCGCCCTCCGTCGCTGCATCGATGGACTCGACGGATTGACCCCGTACGAGAACGGGGAACTGGTCCGTCGGGTGTGGTACGGCTGGTCGTCTCCGCCGTGGTCCAAGGAGTGTCCGAAACCATCCGAAACCGGCTCTTGCCACCGGTAAACCACGTCGTGGTCGCCGTTTCGCTGGGGCTGGTCCGCGGGGCCGGTCCGAGACGTGTACGAGTAGTAGATGGTGCCGTGGCTGAATGGAAGACGAGAAAGGAAGAGATCATGCTTGTGGCCTTCCCTTTTAACGCAGAATGTGTATTACGAGTTGTTTTTTATGAGAAAGCTGAAACGAATGAGCGTCATGAACGATCTAGATGGACGTGCGACATAGACAGGCATCATGGACGAGCGTCGTGAACAAGCAACATGCACGGAGTGTTACACGACGGTATGGTTATGTATAAAGTAACGTAAGAAAGACGCCCCAGTGAGGCGTCTTTTTCACGTTACTTATAAATAACCTTTTTCGTTGTGCATGGTGCTCAACAAAGGAAGCTAGCACAAACGACACACGAAGCATGGTTCGTGCGGCACACAAGCGGTGTTCCCTGGTCCTCGTCAGCACGTTCGAGCTTGCATAATTTGATTCCTTTGTATCTTTATTCCTTCTTATCTACAGGATGCTTCTGAGTGCTGCTGGAACAGAAAATACATTTGTATAAATATACCAATGACCACATTGAAACTTTGCACGTAGATGTGCTTAGGTGTTGCATTTATGGTACTATAATTTCATATGAGTGTCGGTTTTAGGGAAAAAATTTAAGCCTAGAACAAAACTCCCTTTTCCCACGCAAAGGGAGGAAAACGGTAAAAACCGTCTGGTTGACACTGCTCTCGCAGATGGCACAGCATAAAGCAACGAAGTCAAAGCTTCTTTGAGACAAACACCCGATAGCAGAACCAGCAGATCCAAGCCTGTGTGGTACCATCTATGGATAGCAGCGTCAACTAACGTGTTCTTCTCTTTGTGCATGGGAAAAACAAAAACAAATTTCTTATGCTTAAATTTTTCTCCTGAAAACTATACTCTCTGAAAACTAAGGTCGCGAATTGGTACTCATGAAATTAGAGTAAATGCACTACCTAAAGGCATCCATGGGAAAAGTTTAAATGCATTCCAATCATTGGCTTATTTACAAAAAAATGTTCCTAGGCCCGAAGAGCACTCAGAAACACTCTGTAGGAAAATCAGACAAGCATAAGTAATAAATTCTCGAGTCTTTACTCAAGTAACATACTATCTGATTTGATCTCTAAATTAATTTGTTCTTTTTTTCATTTTTACATTTATTATTTTTATTATTACGAATAAACCTGTTAGTAGGGAGCTTTGGAAGTTCTGCCCAAGGCATTTCTCTGAAGGCATCGGTGTACCGCAGAGAAGCAAAACTTTGAAGGGTGTAGCTTACCCACGGTGTGCGGGGAGAAAAAACAAACTGCATTCAATTCTTTAGGTCATTCACCTTAAAAACGCTAAAAAGCTAAAACTAAATAGATTTAGGAAGAAATACCCTTATTTCATCGCACATCATAAAGTAATTTAGGGACATTTCATACCTACGCAAAAAAAAATAGCTTCGGCGTGTTTCAGTCCACGTTTTCCGCATGTTTTCAAAACAGTCTGTCTTCCGGTGGACTTCTTGAGCGTAACACCTGGTCCCATAAAGATTTTCTTAGAGAATTCTAGCAATACTAGAGGCAATACTGACCCGGGATTCGAATAGGACGACCCGGCAGTGGTGTGCGTTGGGAGGGTGTGGTACGCCGGATGGTTCCTCAGGCCAGGCTGGTACGAAGAAGTGGATGCCGGGTGGTTTGGCATGGAGCGTATCTCGCGAAGCATGCCATCCAAAAGGCTGTCCAGTTCGGCGTGCTCCGACTTCAGCGGATCCCTCGGAGACGACTTGCGGGGGTTTGAGTCGGTCGTGTGGTGGACCTCCACCTCTGCACAAGCGGTTGGTCGGTGTCGAGCGAAACGCTGTTACTCTCACGCGAAAGGCAAGGCTGCAAGTACACTTTTCTAGTGAGGCAAGTGTGAATAAGTACTGGGTGATTAAGGGATGTCTTAGTGGGGTCACCTTTCACTTACGATTTACACGGTTACCTTGACACGAATGAGTTGTAGGAGAAGTTTAAAGATGAGCCCGAGGTCAGACCTGTGAAAAAAACTAGCTTTGCCCAAACAAAGACGTACAATAAGCATAGTAATTTGTAGGTAAATTGCCTCGTGTATACACTGCAGGGGTTCTCAAAACTTTGCGATCTTGAGGAACCCCCTTGTAAACAATAATGCACATACTAGATGTTTGGCTCATAGTTTAGGTCAGATCTGCCAAGATAGTGCTTAATCTCTGGAAAAACCCTCGAGGGCACTTTGGGAAACCCCAATTCGAGAACTAAAAATACCCTAAATCGTGATGACTAACATTTGTTTTTTCGAGTCTTAACACTGCGGTTTTCTCTTTAGACACGCCAAAGTAAACCGACGCATCCCGCGCGCTCACCCACGGTGCCGCCGCCGCCGTTCACGACGCCCCTGTGGTGCCCGGGGTTGCCCGACGTGTGGCCCGGCCCCCCGGGGTTGCCGTAGTTGTGCAGTCCCGACGAGGACGAGATGCCGGAGTCCATGCTCACGGTGTGGGGCCCGTCCAGGACGTCGCCGCCGGCGCCGTCCTGGGTCGTGGGTGGCGCCAGGCCGGCTCCGGGGTGGGGGTCCGCCGGGGGGCGCTGCTTGCCTTTGGACACCATAGCATAGAGGTTTCCGTCAAGGGGCCCCTCTGCGTGGGACACTGGGGGTCATGCCGGGAGGGGTTAAGGGTTAGCGTGTTAATGGCCGTCGGATGGGTGGTTAGGAGGGCTGAGTAGAGAGACCGTGCCACACCCCGTCATCGTTAGGCAAAGCTAGTAACTTGCGGCAGCCGAAAGCTTGCAGGTGAACTGAAGTGGTTTCAGACTTTGTCTTTTCTGTAGATCTAACGCGGCAAGTATAAAAGTTTACATATTAGTTGGGTATGAATTTAGTTTCTAATAAGACGTGCAATAAGAAGGTGGGAAGGATTCGTCGTCTACCGTTTCTTTTGTTACATGTTTCATGTAAAAGTGTGGGTGCATATGCATATAATCTGCAGATATTTAGGCTTCATAAAGTGGGTAGACTGCGCTTGAGCCATAAAAGCCCAAAACTTAGAACCCCCTTTTTGTTTTACAAAGTATATTTTTTTTAAAGATAAAAGTGATCTTGTCTATATTAAAGGAATGCATATCTCCTGTTTAGATAGGAAGTTCTGTGTTTTTATATAAATGCCTTATATCTAAAAGAATCTTTTTTTTTTATATGAAAGATAATTTTTTTTACATTTTCATGAAAAGTTACTTTCTACGGACAAATGATCCTTTTTCGAAGATTTCATTTGCTGCTTGGCAAGTCAGGAAAAATTTTCTACCAATAGACAAAATGTTGCCAACTCTATTCTGAAAGAATATACTTTTCACTGAGACAAAACATTATTTCTCGCTTCCAACTACGATGATTCATGCTTCAAATTATGACCATAATTCATTTAATTTGTTTCATTATTATTCTTTGCTACCTTACAGGGATCCAGATATTAGGTCCTTCTACTCTCCAACTGTTAATGACTACAGATCAGGGTGGACAATAAAAATTCATATGACTTTAACCATGACTAAAATCGTGATTAAAATTGTGATTTATATCAGACCCGTTTTACTATAATTTAAACCAAACCTTTCCTGCAAAAATAATCCTAGAAATATTTCTTCATTTACCATTTGTCAATCAACTGGTGCTTCCAATGTGCATTTGTTTTAAATTTAAATCAAGGAATCTTCAAACAATAAAGGTTTAGAAAAGGCTAAATGCGAGCAAAAATAATTGCTCTTCTAAGCAAGTCGGAGCGGTGAGCTTAATTTCTACCTTCCATTCCGTTCGCAAGCTATGTAACGTCCAATTGCAACAAAACCAGAACGACAAAGAAAGAAACGATAACTAGAAAAATAATGTCCTTTTGCAATGAAGTCAAGACTCAGATAAAATCAAATAAAGCTTTTTCTTTGAGCTAACAGAAAAATTGGGCTGTTTTTGTTCTACTAGTATGGCGGAGAATACAGACATAAAAAGTTAATTAAAATTGACATTTACAGTAATTTTTTTCTCCATATTATCAGTGATCGGACAAAGTGATAAATCAATTTGCCACATATGAAATACATCTAGAGGTAAAGAATCACTATTTTCTAGCTACAGTGATTTCTATTATAATAATGTGATTTAAATCAAATCAATTTTATTTAAATAAATGAATTTGATTTAAATTCAACAAATCTGACTTACTTTATTCATTTTTTTTTCACATTGTTACAGATGATTGAAGCATAAATTGTCAGGGATTACATCGTACGATTATTAAAAACAATGTGCCTGCTGATACAGATGATTGAAGCATAAATTGTCAGGGATTACATCGTACGATTATTAAAAACAATGTGCCTGCTGACAGAAGGCTACGCCATTTCTTCCTCTTTTGCAACTTAGGATGTCTAGTTTCTGTTGAAACGGTTTAGATCTTTGCCCATATACCTCAGCTGCCCGACTGATGGCTTACTAATATTGATTTTATTTTAGAAACTCACCTGCCTTCATAGTGTTCTTTCTCAGCCAGATCGTTTAGCCCAGTTTGGCACTCTGCGAATACTAACACTAGCCCTACAGCAGCCATCAAGTGACTACCGCATAAAGCCTGCGTTACTGGGTAGTTTTAGTAGTACAGTAGTACTAGTATTAGTAGATAACCATCACTTAGTTTCTTCGTGTAGTTTAGAAGCCCAGAGGCAATTCGATCAAAGGGTTCTAAGAAGACAAAACCCACACCAGAAAAATGGTAGTCATTAGCAGCACCCAAGCGTGTTAATTTAAACAATTAAGCAGTTATGAAGTCGTCCAAACCAAGAACCGGGTCAGGGAGATTGAGAACACTCACCAGCAATGCTGTTAGACTCGAAGAGGTCATCCAAGTCTGGAAAAAAATGTCAGCGATAATTACGTTGACCGCGTGTCAACGACCGAAACTGACACTACAGACTGGATGACGAGCAAGACAAGCGGTATAGTCAATGACTGCATGAGAAGCATGGGCTATGGCTTATCATGTCCATACTTCTTGCTTCTTGATCGGCTCTTTGGAGTTCTTATCGGTTAATGCTGTGATTTCATTGGCTGCTCAGCATTTCTCAGAGCGTCGGAGACTACAATAAACGAAACAAAAACGCACCGCTCAGACTATCTTCTCGGAGAAGATCGAAGTTCTCGTACGAGTCTTGCTTGACCAGGGGGTCCTTGGTGTGGTCGACGGGGACGACGACTTCGTTCACGGCCCCATTCCCTGCGTGACGACCGGCAAATAAAGCCCCGTAGTCGTGACCGCGAGAACTTGTGACTTATGGATGAAAAAATGGATGGTGGTGGCACTTTTTCACAATCAGGGTGCCAAGTCAGAATAAAAAAAAGTGAATGGAAAAAAAATCATGTTGGCTATAAGTCGACCACATATTTTAACTGTCGATAATTTCAACTTGGCTATACCAATCAGGTTTTCAAGTTCTCAACTTGATGACAAAAATATAGAAATGCTGACACTCCCTATGCACTGCCAGCTACCGCGTGATCATTAAATAAATGTTGTCGAATGCGCCATTTCTGATGTGCAATGTGCAGTTTGTAAAATGATAAAAAAGAAAGGATCTAACTCCAAGCACGCAAAAACATAAGTACTGGCACTAGGATGCAAATGTTCCCAACTAATATGCCATTGCCATCAGGATGAGACGTCTGACAATGTCAACACGCATGCAAATTGGTATGTCAATAGAATGCTCAAATCCATATCCTGAAGATATTTTCTCTCGAGCACTAATCATCAGTAAATATCCCAAGAACCTAAAGAACTGCAAACAAACATGAAAACATGTATGCAAGAATCAACATATAAAATAGTATATTATAAAAATTAATCAGCCAACATTATTGTGCTAAAAACAAGTAAAGCACTCACCTCTAAAATCGTTTGGTCGCTGAGAGAACTGCAACTCCACCTGTCCTTCATCAGGAAACCTTGGATCTGTTGGGGAAAGTAATTGGTAATTTTGAAAAAAATCTAAACACCCAATAAAGAAAAACATTATCATTATAGAACCCACAAACTCAAAAAAAAAAAAATTATAATTTAAAACATATTTAGACGAAAAGACATCATCTTTGCAGGAGGGCTGTTGTATCGTCATCAATTCGGAGGAACGTATCGATGTTACATATTGATGTCGAGTCAATGTTATTTGTTGTTATCAAGTTAATAACACACTTCTGTTATGGCGCCACAAGTGTGGGGTTATATCTTTGGGAGTTCAGGGCAATAAACGTTCATTATGCACCTGGCACCAATCAAGAGTGTTGCTCTGAGCTCGTAGCATATTTCGTGCGCCCGAGTGCAAGTCGAGTAGTCGCTAAGTTGCAACAGGGGTGATAAACAGCACCTTTCGCCTTTTCCCGGTGAAGTTATGGTGGCATGGATCACGACTGGAACAGCCCCAATGGTTGATTCATCAACTGTTTAAAGGGATACTTCAACGAAATTTGAAATATTCCCGTCGTGTTCAAAAATAGGTTGAATATGATCCGCAATATCCGTAAATGACAATCGCACGTTTGTATTTTGATCCTGGTGGCTGTATTTTTCGTTATAAATGGCCCACTCTGGCAAGTGCTCGGAGAAGGCCCAGCTTAGAGCACGTGACATCCAACGCAATCGTGACGTAGGTCGTCTCAAGACGAGCAAAGCTACGGCGAGGCTGACGTCGAGAGGATGGCCTAGTCGTTCCAGTAACCGAAGCGGCTGCTTTTGTACGAATTTTGAGTGACGGGTTAATCTTCTATAATCTTCTAGGGGGACAGTAGCGACTTCTGCGACACACAAAAGGGATTCTCGGGAAGAGGGGAGTTCCTCCTTCCCCCTTCTCTCGTCGTGGCCGGAGACGAGACAACCTCCGTCACTAGCCGTCAAGGTTCCTAGACGAGCATTACAAACGAGAAGTTAGCGACATCCACCAGGTGCTCTTTGCTAATCGTTTAATTCGTTTTAAAATTCCTTTTCGAGACTTTTTTAACAATATATTGGTATGTTCCATGTGATACTGCTCTTTTGAACACATATAGACCAAAAAATGAGCGCCGAAATTTCGTTGTAGTATCCCTTTAAGACCTTGGAAAATGAAAAGGTGCGCTCTGCCTCAAGCAGATAGTTTTGATTTGGACCAACATTGTGGCGACTTGAGGCCGCGTAATCACTACAAGATGATGCGCATAAAACATCTTGGGTCAGCAGTCGTACCACACTGGATAAAAATTCCAGATCAGCAGTCACACTGAACTGGCTAAATTCCTAATCTGAATGATATTCAGGATCTCAAGGGCAGAACGACCTTTCACAGCCTAAACACTCAATGTCTCATTCACTTTCCTCCCAGCCACAGTACAGATAACTAGAGGCCCTAGCTTTCTGCGATTCCGCGATTCCGCAAAAAATCGCAGAATTAAAGCTTTTTCGCAGGAATGCGAAAAAAAAACGTTAAAAGCGTTGCTTTTGGAAGCTATGGAGAAACACGGTAGCTTCCGAAAGGTGGCGCTAAACGTCCTCAAAACGAAAAATTAAGTGAAAATTGCAAAAGTTGACGGAAAAGTAGTATTTTCTTAATAGTTAATGACAAACGGGTTTCTATGGCCTCGTCATCTTTTATTGTTGAAGAAATTTAACTTTATATTCACATATATTCTAACCTTATCAATTAAAACAATGGCTAGGTGGTGCAGCCGCCACCAATCAAGGAGCTCAACCATAGTGAAGAGAATACAAAGTATCACCTGACGCTCAGCCACAACAGCTTTTTTCAGTTTTAAATTATTGCAAGCATGTTTGGAGCCTGAAATTGTTTCATAAATAAAGTGTTACATGTACCTTATGTCTGTTCAATGTTACCGCAGAATCGTGCAGATTCCTCTGTCTGAATTTGCAGAATTTCATATTTTCCACCGCATAAAGTTAGAGGCTTTACAGATAACTGTCAGTTTGCTAAGTGTAAGAAGAGATAACAAAAGTCGTTTGTATGAGGTTTTTTGTTTTTTTTAGCCTTCGATGAAGTGGGTAAAAAAACTTTCAGCCTTTCCACTCTGGTGAAGAAGGAAGACCAGCGGAGCTGTACCGTGATGGAGCGACCTCAAGAACGACTTCTTGGACGACCTCAAGGACGACGCCTAGAGGACGACGTCTATGAAGACATCTAGGACAACCTCAAGGATGACGCCTAGACGACCTCAGGGACGATGTCTAGGACAACCTCAAGGACGACGTTTAGAACAACCTCAAGGACAAGTTCTAGGACGACTTGGAGGAGTACGTCTAGAACGACCTCAAGGACGACTTCTGAGGACCACCTCTAGGACGACCCCTAAGGATGACTTCTAGGACGACGTCGAGGATTTTTTCCTCAAGGACGACGTCTAGGATGACCTCAAGAATGACTTCTGGGACGACCTCAAGGACGACACCTAGGACGACGCCTAGAGAAATTCAGCGTGGAAAGGCTGGAAAGGTTGCCGCCGTCTATGAGCGAGGCTGGCAAGCCGGTTGTCTAATTGCTGCCATCACTCATAGATGGCGGTAGCTGTCCAGGGTTTTGTGTCGACACTTGTTTGGTACTGGACACAATCCTGGGGAACCTAGCCCTTAACAGCTCCGCTGTAAAAAAAACGTCACGAAAAATCACCCCACAGATTTAGGCCCTTATCATGACGTGGCACAAGCTTTTAACGAGACTGCCAAGTACCCCAGACATGTTATGCGAATAGAGAAAACTGCATGAAGCTTTGGGGAGGACAAACAGACGTCAAAGATGGTGGGGGTAAGGGAAGAATATACGCGACGACTGGCAGTCTTGTCGAATGTGTGATAGAATGACAGAGAACCAAGGCAGCAACCTTCTTTCAGGAGGACATGCAATAGCTTGTGCCTCGTCGCGATAACTGCCCAAACACGCGCGGTGATTACAAGAAGGAATAGCTACAACGTGTATCTACATTCTGTAGATATAAAAACACTTTTCATCGCTCTCGCTTCTTGTACCCAGTTCGTCGGTGGCTGAAAAAATAAAACGGCCCTCGTATTTGGAGAAATCGGGAAGGTGGGGACAGGCTCACCTGACACGGCATCGTCGAGCTCCCTCTTGGTGAAGAGGACGCGATCTCCGGAGAGGGTGCAGGTGTGGAACTGTACCCTGAAGATGGGCGACCGTCCGGCGGGACGCTGCTTCTTGTGGTAGCACTTGATCAGGATGTCCCCCCTCAGGGCTTGGCCCGGCTCCATCGAGACCACCACGCGCCTCGAGCCGTCCGTCGCCAGGCTGCGTGCATCGAGCAGGAGCAAATTAACAGTCATGATCGTTGACAGTATAAGAAACACAGGGCCTATTAGTATGTTAACACTTTTTGCTTCGTGACTCAGCGTTCTTAGCAGCATATGTGGCAATCTCATGAACTGCGGATCGACAATAAGGTGCTCAGAACTTGCCGCAGCCTTCGTTTGCTAAGCACTAACTTGCATAATGACTTTTATTTCCGAAGTACTAGTTTTGGCATTGACTGCCTTATTTATTGTCCTGTTCTGTAGAAGGGTGTGAATTATCAAACTGAGGTGTCGCAGTTGTTTCCATTCCAAATAACCGAGAAATGGTCAGCCTAAAAAGGTTTCGAATACGTTAACACTAATAGATGTATACTAGTTAAAGCAACTGGGTAACTCTATGCAGTATTGTATTTGCTGCTTAATTTTAATCTGCTTACCAATTTTTATTCTATGCTTCAAAGGGCTAGATTAACATTTGATGTTCACTAGAAGGTGAAGGAAGTGTTTGCTGATTAAGTATGTTAATGCGATAATGTAACCTACATACATACAGAGGCACCTGAACTATTCGGGAGAGGGAGGGGGCAATAGTGTTGGTGGGGCAAACGAGATTTCTGACCCCTTCACCATACTGCTTACATTAAATTTTTTAAATGTCTGGAGGGGACAGTCACCTTCGCCCTCCCCCCATCTCCTGTTTTGACGCAACTTTGAAGTAGTAATGTAGTAGTAGTCTTGTCAAGTAGCATGTTTCTGTTACTGGTCAATATATTAACTGAGACCACAATAATAAGAGCAATAAAACAAAAAAGTAAAAAAATTAAAAAAGAAAAAACAGATGTAGTAACAATGGGCCTTTTTCCAGTAAGCCTCTATATGCATGTGTACTGCCCCTCCACTGGCCTTGTTTCTTGCCCATTTTCTCACGGCACAGTTGCGCACGACCATCGCGGTCAGCGCCAATCTTTGCGAGTATTTCATACTTTCAACGATTCTTTCTTGAACTTGCTTTGCTTTTTATGCTAGTGCATAAAAAGCAATGAAAACCGATACAACGACACAATGTCAAGCTGTTCTGACAGGCGGAGGCATGTTGGCCTGGCTTTCATTTGCAGCTCGTGGGCAATCCCCCAGACGGTGCTCGTAACTGGAAAAAGGTTCACTGTGTGTAGGGTTGGATTATCATCACCAAAAAGTAAGCATACCAAGATTGAATCACTCAAACAAGGTAAAGACAGACTACTCACTAAACTCCTGAGGTGTAAACCGGTTGCATTCCTTGGTAGATCTTGAAGAAAGGTTTGCATCCTTCGAGCAAAAAGCAAAGAAAAATGTTAGTCTTTGAAACATTCCCCTACTGTAACGGGATTCAATCGAGAAAAAGAGTCAAAATGCACCTAAAGAAAAAATAAATCCACGAATTACCCCAGAATCTTCAGCTTTCCACTCATACTGACAAAGAGACTATATACTGTCATGTGCACTGCAGCGAATGAAGTGTTACTCCATATGCTCTATTCTTCCTTAGCTTTGTACACAGACGAGTGGTAAACCAGCCTCGAAAAGTGTAGATATGCGTGCTAGACCGTGCAGTGGAAGTGGCTGCCAAGGCTAAGAACCCACACCCCCAGCATTTGCCCTAATCTAGATGCACAGTTTTCACCTTCTCTGCGAGCCCAACCAAACAGCCAAATGGTGCATATAGTTGCCAAAATAATGAAAAAAGCCTGTGTTTTTTCCAAGTGTCTGTAGCATGCCAAAAGTAAGCATGGTGCAACACGTAATGCTAATACTTAGCGCGGCTCTCCAACATTCTCTAGTTTCTTGTGTTCCTGATAATATGAGTACAGTAACATACTCACCCCAAGACGTATGGTGTCATAAAATTAACCTAAAAAATTTTTAGTGGCATGTGGTGATTGTGTGATACATGTGGTGACACAACCGAGTGAAACCTCCTTTTGACACTTGCCTCCTTTGTTGTCGAAATTGGGAATCCCGTGAAGGACCAGGTGGTTCAGGTACAGCGCATTGTTGTTCATTCGGATGTTGCCAGACAAGAGCTCGGTGAAGTAGTGCACATACCTGAGTGGCAATGGGAAAATGTTTATGTGAAACTTTGAAGAAAAAAAAGAAACATTTGAAGTTGGGTATCAAGTTTTAAATACTTAAAAGAACATGTGAAAATATTTCATAATTATATAATCAAATTCTCATTGTGTGTTTCTTTTTTCTCCACCATGTGAATCTGTCAGAGCTAAATTTGTACTCATTATAGGTAGTGACCTATACTATTGCATCACATACTGTACATTCTATGTATTGTACTACATTGTTCTACATTCTTATCATACAGTCTACCTGATGTTATTCATACTTTCCTCACTGCGTGCCGAAGGTGCCGAACCTGTATTGTATAAAGGTATACGGTTCCAACTACTGTAAAATACAGAGCATCAGCCCATTCTACAATAAGCGCCCACCCCTCAATTTTGTAACATTAGAAAAATACACAAATGACATAGCTTTACATATTGTTGACCTAAGGTGCATCTATTTATCAGTTTTCCATGATTAACTTTAAATTTTGAGTCAGGATATCAGGGTATGTTTTATCAGCATATGTGCTAATATAATTTCTAATTGAAACTTTGCTGCTTGTATGAACTCTTAGACATCCTAACGCTGTCTGTGACAGCTTCTTGTCTGAAAACCCCCAACATTGTGTTGAAAAAAACATTGATTTGAATTTAATGAATTTAACAGGGTTGCTTTGTTCTGAAGATCAGTTTTTGGCTAAAATCTAAATGCATATGGTTAATTTTTAATAATAATAATAATAATCACTTTATTTTTCATCAAACAATAAAGGGAAAGTCAGGAAGAAAAAAAATGCTGTAACACAGTTTCACAGGTCCCCGGCCTTTACAGTGGCAGAAGAAGCAGACTTTTATTTCATATTTTTGCGTGCAAACATAATGGCACTGTTGTATATACAAGTGACGAAGTTCATTTATGGTAAGCGAGTCAAGGTGCAAATCAAGACTAATAAGGCTGTTTAGTAAACAAGGCAGTGTATATTTACTAATAAATATGTGTTCCGTAGTTTGTCCTATCCCACGTAGCATCCAATGTCGTGCGAACATTCCCTGGGTGTTCTGAATGTTGAAGGAACGTTAAAACACCATTCGGAACATTCTAGGAACGTTCGTATGCGAACATTCCTTACAAGGTAAGATGCTCAACATTCTAGTAACGTTTGTTGGCGAACATTCGTATGCACAATGTTCTCGGAACGTTCCCCTTTGAACATTCATATGTGCAACATTCTTGGAACGTTCGCTTGCGAACATTCCTAGAATTTTCGCAGGTGAAGCCAACTTTACGGAGCTTTCAAGCAACCTGTGTTTCAAAACACCATCCACTATATGCCACCTTGTGCCAAAAATATGCAAATTAAGTGGAGGTTTTGGAAACTTAGCATAAGGGATCAGTTTTATCTTATACGAGTCTACCAAGGAATGTGAGATAAGGTGGTAGGAGAAAAGCAATGGTCTTCAAAATTTGATAATGAGCTTGGCACTCACTGCGTATGTAGAGGGGCAGTTTTGAATAGACCCGATTTTTAGCATCTCCGATTCAACACCTTGAAGAAGGTATGTCCCGCTTGAGTGTGGGATGCTGTAGGTATCTGTTCTTATGCTCGGAGTGAGTAATCGGTTAAGTATGCAGCAGGTATTGATAAGTAGGAGTAAACTGCCGTTATAGTACAGGCTCTGGCTAATGTGCTAGAAGAGCAGGCTAGATTGTGCTAGGCCTGGAAAAAATGTATTTCGATTAAAAAATATTTATTGCTCTGTCAGGAGATTTATTTTATCAATATATGTAGTACGGCTCAGTACGGCTCAGTGGGGCTGTAAGCTAAGCAAGCCATAATTGTGGCATCTTCGAAACATTCCTCAGAGAATGTTGCAGATGTTCTTTGGATGTTTTGGGAACATTCTTAAAACCTTGTTAGAATGGTGATTAAATATTCTGTCGTGCTCAGAACGTTCCAAAAATATCCCCTAGAAAACATTCCCCGAATGTAGCGATAAGTGCCTGCGCCACATTCTGACAACGTCGATAGAATGTTCTTACATAAATTTGCAACATTCAGAGAATGTTGCAGAAGGTCTTTGGATGTACTGAGAACGTTCTTAGAACCTTGTTAGGATGTTTCAATGTTGATTGAATGACCTGGTAATGTTCTATGTCGTTCTCAAAACGTTCTAAGAATATCCCCTTGAAGACATTCCCCGAATGTAGCGATAAGTGCCTGCGCCACATTCTGACAACGTTGATAGAATGTTCTTACGTAAATCTTCAACATTCCAAGAATGTTGTCTATGTTATTTTGAACATTCCCGGAATGTTCTCAGAACGTTCTCGTGCTACGTGGGATGAGGGCCCATCTCCCAACATTCTTCAAGCTTACCTCCTCTGGGAAGGATGCATGTGCGAGTAAAGCTTGTCTTCGTAAAACCTCTTCATTGTAAACCGGTCCAAAGCTTGGTCATCGCTAAATGAAGAAGTGCAGAAAGTCAAAATAAATTACATGCAACAGTTTTTACCCAAGGGAATTCAACACCCTACCAAAACATTTATCGCCACTGACCTAATATGTATCTTTGTCACTGTAGTAGAACTGAACAACCACACATCCTAAAATTTGACTAGTATGTTTACTAATTAATTTTTATCTGTCATTTTTTAACAACAGCAATACACCCAAGACCCATTAACATTTCTAATAGCCATCTTTAAATTTTACTGGTTTCTGGATGGTCTTTCATATGAATAAAAGTTGAGAAGTTTTGAGGACCCACTTACGTTTCTCATAGTTGTCCTTAAATTGTACAAAATCCTGATTTGTGTTTTTTTTCTTTTTTTTCATATCCATAAAAGTTGGGGGGCTTGGAAGATCCACTAAGATTTCTAATACTCTTCAAAAAAATGTTTAGTTTGGGAATATTTTTTTTATATTCCTAAAAGACGGTGAACTTACAAGAAATATGCATTTATCGCCGAACCCCTCCTTTTGAAAGAAAATGAGATTATGCTTTATATAAAATTTCTCCCTAACTGGAGATACTTTAACCTGGTGATCAAGAAGAAAGTTATGCTAACAGGATTTTGATTATAACAGATGTCTTTACAGGTGTCTTTCATTCCCCCTCTTTAATGTATTACATCATGACAGCCAGAAATCTTGAACTGAATGCTCAATATGGGCATAGAAACAATAAATCAATTAACCCCAGAAAAAAAAATACAAAGCAATTTATGAGAGGAAGCGCAAAGCTTACCTGGCACAGATACTGCTGTAGTGCAGATATGCCGCCAACACAACTCCAATGCGGCCTTTGTCCCCCTGTAAAAAGGCAGGCAAAGGTTTTTGCAAAAACGCTCGCCGACGCCGACTCTGCAAAAACCGTGCAAACACTTCCCGCTACGCCGCAACGCGTGCCAAGCACTACGAGAGAAAGAACATTGTAATCTAAATGTTAGGATAGAAGAGCAAATGTGCAGGCTTGTAATGAAGCACGAGGCTTTGTGGAAGTACCGTACCTATAACCTCCTGAATTTGCTTTCAATGGAGCTCAATTTCAGCCGAATGTATTGAGGTAGTGCAGTTTCAAGGTGCTCCCGGGAAAGTTTGCAGGATGTTGACAGGGAATTTACGGTACAGCACCTAACTATTGTGGATGTGGTATCAAAATTCTCCTAAGGTTAAAGGCACGCACTATTGTGTGCTTTACAAGTATCATCTTTCTCTGCAGTGTAGCACGTGGTTATGTAGAAGTATTCAGGTAGAACAGTCCCATTATACTCCCAGTAAAATTTGCAGTATGTCATTGAGAAGAGTCTGGTATATGTTCCAACCTAACTACTGTGTCTGTGCTATTTGAACGCTCCCCAATTCAAGTCGTGCAGTAATGTGTGCGTTATGAGCATCATCTTTTTCTGGAATGTAGGACAAGGTTAGGTAGACATACAATATCTTGCATTTGCATTGATAGAGCTCAGTTACAGCTGCTTGTATTTGGTTAGAACAGTTCCTTATGCTCTCAGTAAGGTTAACGATATGCTGTCAGGAAATGTCAAGCATTTCCTCCAATCTGGCTACTGTGTCCGTTCTATTATAACTCTCGCAAGATCGAACCAGTGAATTCGAAGTTTGCATCTCTTCCCTGGAATGTGTGTATGCGGGAAATTGCCAGCTGCCTCACCTTGGAGTGTAGGACAGCCACATTTTGCGGATCGGAGTGGAACCACGCGTCTAGACTCTTGCAGATGGTGCAGAGTCGTTCGAGAGGAGGGGACAGGTGGGCTGGCCAGCCCAGCTCCAAGATCTGCAATGTAGGGAAGTATCAAAATAAACATTTATTAAAAAAAAAAAATACTTTCCTTTTTTTTTCATTTTTGAATTACCCTAGTTTTTAGTATATAAACTTTTAATATTAAAATCTTTACTACCATGGTTTTAATATCGGAATTTTCGAACTTTGAAGTATCTGAATTTTTGAGCATTTCAATTTTTCAATTCTTGAATGTTTGCGAAGTTGACTATTTCAATATTTGAAAAGTTTAACTCACAAATATCTAAGTTTTCTTTTTTTTTTTTTTATATGACTGAGAACTTGGTTGTTTACACATTCTAATCTTTAAACAGTAAGATATCAAATTAGCTTAATTTGTTTATATAACGCATTGGTTGGTGGCTACTGCAAGCCCCATACTGAACACAAACATTCTGATGTTGCAAAGAGCCATCGGTCAGGGATAGCTTACTATGCAAGTGCACAAGGAAAGTCACTAGGATGTCATCATCTTGTTTACGGTAAATATGAGACAAATTTTCTCCAGAAGTTTATCGAACAAAGGTCATCAAACTCCCTTCATTCTAAAAGATGTTCTATTTTGTCAAAAGAACAAGGTTACACGCTGCAGGTATAATAGCAATCTTAATAATCCTTACCCAACAAATAGCTAGAATGACAGATTGGATTAAGAAAATCATTGTCGCATTACATCCAGCAGTCAATCAAAATTCTGCACGAAGTGAGTCAAGGTCTGAAATTTTAAGAGGGAGATATGGAGCCATTAAACAAAACTCTGGAAGGGTATTTCAGCATGCTCCAATCAATCACCGGTCTTTGTAAGCAATGTTACAATGTATATTCTTCTCCCACTGGGACAGTCCAACAGAGAAAAATTGTGAAAAAAAACCCTACCTGGTTGTTCAATTTGGCAAGGTCATGTCGTTTCTCAGAGAGGTTGAAAACCTAAAAGATACAGTGAAAAGAGAAAATCAAGCATTGAAAAAAGTAGCCGTCTACACAAGCTATTTAGGATCACACTTAGAAGCAAAATATTGAAGCATTCAACTTCTACGTATAAAAATTTATTTTTCTTTCTCGAAGAATATTAACAATTAAAAAAAGCTCCCAAAATGTAGTCAGAAGTTGATCACAAATATCGGAGCTATAACAATACCAATGTCAGAATGTGCATCTCAACTTCACTACCCAATTTTAGAATCTCAGTGAGAAAGTTTGCAATAATGCTACAAAGAATTTTTGTTGCATGGATGCATTACACATATATTTTGGTCTTTAAACAAAATTGAGGAGTCTGGGTTACACCAATGCCAACATCAGATCAAATAATGCAAAGCATAGTGCATTTCAACTTCATAGCCCAGTGTTCAAATATTCATGAGAATATTTGACGTGAAGGCTTCCATGAGTACATTAGATGAAATTAGCTGCTTATTACCAAATGAGAGTTAAGCAGCTCTTTTTACAAGATGTCAGATCGATTAGTACATTATTTCAAATAAGCTACTTATTACCAAATGAGAGCTAAGCTGCTCTTTTTACACAAGATGTCAGACCTGTTTGAAAATTCCTACCGTGTACTTGCTCCCATGTTTAGTGCGTAGCATGCGAGTCACTTCCTTCAGGTTACTCCTGTAGGTTGTGTCGAGCCCACTCTCCGGGAACGTGACCACTGGCAGGAAAAAAAGACAGTTGGTCATTCATTCTTTATGACACGAGGAAATGTTTTCAAGGGAAAGGTCCTCTCTGCAGTTTCAAAAGATAAGATGATATTATTTGTTATTTGTGTGACATACCGATTATCTTCTCTGTAACGTATGTTACGTCCATTGCGAAACTCAGTTGTCGTTCGAGGCTCCTGCAAGTGGATGAGAAAGATGTTCCAGGTGTGAGACTTTGCACGTTGGTTTCACAACTTAAGAACAGAATGGAACAGTGTAAAGAGTTATGACTTGGGCAATAATTAGTGCTGTTGTTAAAATTGCTATTATTATTATATAATAAAAGTCAGCTGATTACCTCGGGGTTCTCGTTCGTTCAAGAGATCGGGATCCAGGACTTTTCTACAAGAAAAAATTATACAAGGTAACACTTTCTTATCAGCAAGAACATTCACTGCAGTAAAATGCCTGTGGTACATGGCTGCAATTTTCTAGAGGACCTTAAAGAAAACAATCCGAGAAATTTAAACCACAACTCAGTCAAAATTAAAACAAGACAGCTGCCAAACTCACACTGCAACGTGATTTTAGTTTTACTTTTGGTTATTTTTCATGCCCAACTTCGTTGTACTTTGTAGCCAAAAAGTCAGAATTCACACAAATTACACCTAGAGCACGAAAAATTCCATTCTGCTTTCCTTTCAGTGATGCAAATAGACCAAGTAACTCTGAAGCACCTTTTTAAAGCAGCGAAAAGTTTATTTGGGAGAAGCAATAAATCTTTTAAAGCACAAACATACACTTCATTCTCATTCAGTCCCCTGCGACTACTACATTGGGATTCATGCACTGACCTGCCCAACTAAAAGACAATGCCTACTTTAACTTCCCTTTTGTGTGAAACCCCAGTCTGGTTCCCTAAAATGCTCAACTAGCTGTTTAATTCTATTTAAAACCACAAGAGACGACAACAAAACAGTTGTGACAATACCCATTATTCCTCTTTCAAAAGACTCATTGCAAAAGTTATAACATATGGTGACTCATAAAAGATATAATATGAACATCTGTGGATGGCTATTTCAAGTATATAATCGAGCCAAAGATTGCTCCATGGAAATAATGTTAGAATACAATCATTTTGAGTAATAGATTTGAATGTGTTATTCAAATTCTGGAAGGCGGCAATAAAAGAGCACTTATTACTAAAAAATAAGAGAACATCTTTTGACATTGAATTATGCCCATTACTGGCATTTACACATAGAGTTTTATAATTACGCAAAACCAGCATGTGGGCAGTAAATTTACCCACTTATATAATCCAGCCAAGCCCATTAAGGCTATTCCAAATCTTCCACTTCAGTGTTGAAGTTAGTTTAATTTTAGTTTAGACTTTATTGACTATGCCCTTGAACATTCGAGGACCTATCTAGAGGTGATAACAAAAGAAACAATTCTGCATAAAAATAATAATAACGATAATCTTTATGGGTTCAGGAGGGCCGCGACACTGCAGAAAGACAACAGCCCGTACCATGGATGCCGCGTCTACTGATGGTGATTATGCGATGATGTAACATACAAGATCGAAAGTGACGGTGATTATGAGATGGTGCAGCACATCTACACCTCAGCAAGGCTACTAATAGATCAGCTTGCTATGCCCAAGCGTCCTTAATTAATTCTCAAACCCCTAAAAATACTGCAACCAATGGTGCACGCAACTTCTCGAAATATTGCGATCTATCACTAGCTGCAAGTTTATTTGAATTTTTTTTTCTGCAAAAATTAATTAATGCATCAAACTTTTTTTTCTTTTTTTTTTTTTTTTTTTACGAGTGCGCATGCCTTTTTTTGCTTTGGAGGAGCGCTTTTTCCAGAGCACACGGCTGCACTGCGGCGAAGCGAGATACGCAGATCCACGTAACGTTGCTTCCTCTGCGCAAGTTGCCTTCCCGCAGTTCTCCGGTGCACGGCGACAAGCGCACTCAACGGAGCCAGAGCTTTTGGGCCCCCCAAGCAGGTTTGGGGCGTCGCACCGGGCCTGTGCAAAGAAGCTTCTGCGCTTGCGCAGCGCGCTATTTTAAAACTGTCCAATTGCGAAACCTCCGAGGAATGTCCGTCGGTGTTCGATACGAAGAATAAATCAAATCGTACTTTACTCGGAGCGGTTTGAAAGTTCCGAAAATTTGCACAACGCTATCGCAACGACTCGCCAGCGAGACAACGCCCGAGCAATTACTTTCCACATCGATCGAATGAAATCAACTTTTGGCGAAATGTCAGCGGAAATTCTTCACAGTTTGGTGAAATACCGATGGATGTAGCGGGATGTATAAGCGCTATAATGCAACTTAGCGAAAATGGCGCAGTGATCTCATAACATTCCTTTGAGCATGTTCCTCGTTTTTCGGAGGGCACTCAAATTATTTCCAGTCCAATTTTATGGGTGCCACAAGTAGCAGAGGTGTAACCTTACTCGAGCACTAATCCATACAGGTTACTTCTCTGTGACCCAAACGAATTACTACATCGACAACCTCCCTCTTTCTCTCACCTTCAAAAGTATCATAACAATTAGCAACAGAGTCGCGAATACGCGACTCTGCCGCAAATAATTAATCGAATACTAATTAATCCGCGTCGCCGTCAAGGCGGCACGCGCAGGCGCGCAACTCACCGATCTCCTGGAATGTCGGAATTCTCGGCTTTCGCTGTGATTCTGAAATCGAGAGGGCGACACACGGTTGGTTTCTGCGAGCGCAAAGAAAAATCCAAGACAACAACAAAAAAAGAGTAAAAGGAAAAAGGATGCGTAAGACAAGACTAATTTCCAGCTTTGAAATCGTCCACACGACGATTTCTGTTCAAACCACATATTTGCACGCGTATCTGCACACTTAACATATTTTACATATTTGCACGCGAATAGGTGTGCTTTTTTAGGCTGAAGGTTTTGCAATATTCACGAGATCGAATCTAAACGCTACCCAGGAGGTATTACGACCATTAATAACTAGGGTTCCGTGTTTTCAAAGAAATTAGAAAAAATCTTAAAAAAAAAACACTCGGCGGTAAAGTTTTTATGAATTCGGATTTATCCGAAAAAAACTCAAAATTTCAAAATCACGAAAAAAAATTGTCTTACAAAACTTTGCAAAATTACTGTCAGTAGTCTCAAAAAAACAAACAAAAAAACGCCACTTCTCTTTTTTTTTTTTTTTTAGTTTTGCACTTTTATTGAGGCTTTCCTTTCAACTCATCAAGGCTTCTTTAAAATTCAGAAGCATAGATGAAATTTGGTACCCAAATTTCATCTATGCTTCTGAATTTTAAAAATTGGGAAGACGGTAAAATAAACACCGAATTTCAGAGAATTTAGAATCTAACAAAAATAAACTCGTATAAACCCCGATTTTTCGGCGGAAATCCGAAAAACACTCCCTCAATTTCACGAGAAATAAACTCCGAAAACACGAAATACTACTTAAAACGCTGCCAGAACAATCTCAAGCGCGTGGCCATATAATGGCGCTTAAAATACAGGTTTTTTTTTAAGCTTTAGAGGTTTGTTTAAAAACAGCCGCGAAAGCTACACCTATGCGGTTTGTGCAAGTGAGTTATACGGCAAAGGGGACATAGTATATAGGCAGCCAATCGTAACGATCAGTCGGCTAAGTAAGTAAAATTTGTTAAATCACTTTTTAATTAGTGAAAATAGATATGGTTTCAAACAGAAACTCGCTGAGCGTCATCGAAAACCACCAAATCAACTATTTTTAGAAAGATATAACGCAGAGGAAGCATTTTACGGCGTACCATAAAAACGTTCCATTTTTACGCGTTTCTAGGTTTCGTTTTCCTATCGGAGCGCATCTCTGCGCCCGCGGTCCTGCTCCCCAGCGGCATCTCCCGACAAGGGGGGCGAGGGTAAGAGGTCGAGAGGGGTGGTTTCGCGCCGCGAACACCGGGAAGCATAGCAGGACCGCAGGCGCAAAGATGCGCTCCGATAAGAAACCGAAACCTAGAAACGCGTCAAAAATGAGCGTTTTTACGGAACGCCGGAAAAAGCCTGCCCCTGTCTTTAGAAAAACTTGCAAAACTATCTCTAAAAAAAAAAAAAAAAAATTTTGGATCTGCAGCTTAGAGTTGTTACGAGGCTTCCCGACAGGTGGCGCCAGGAGCTTGTTGCTTACTATAATAGAACAGGCGAATTTCCCGATAATACAAAATGGCGTTACTTATGTCTTTTTTTTTTTTTTTTTATTCCTGAGAAATCGCATACAATTCTCGAGTCAGAGCCCCGAAACGGCGGACGGAATTGTCATCCGCCGGTCGTCAGTCAGACTATGCCACTATGATTGCCAGACTTAATATCTCCTTAAAGACTCAAAATAAATGTTCGCAGTTTTACCAATATTTGTGTTGCAATACGAATTTTCCGATTTGCGGGCGAAACCGAAATTGTACCCTTGTGGGATGATGATGATAGCGTTTGTACCAAACTAGGGTGCGCTCAGAGGTCCAGCAAACTCAGAGCGCACGCTATATACTCAATATCCCTTGTTAACACCGCAGCTTGGGCTAGATGGTTTTCCATATTTTGTACTTCATAGCGCATAAACGTCTCACAAAAACATACACACAGCGCTGAACTAACAACTCTTTGTATCCCAAATACTGAGCCAAAATATGTTTCTTTCGCGAAGTTATTGAATTTACATTTTCGGTCCTCACCGTGTTTTTTAACGTAAAAAAACTCTACTGGCAAGGAAAAAAAAAAAGGTGACATTCGGGGGAGGCAGTGGTTCACTGTTTGGACAGTAGATTTTGTTCCGAACTGATTCCGAGCAGTTCCATGGTGTCAAATGAATACTTCGGAAGCTCGCTTCAGCAGCTGCACGAAACACATGCCCGGCAGAGTCCACTTTTTAGACTGGCCGGTCGACCCGCAAGCCTGCCTTCCCTCAACGTCACGGCACTGAAAAGCGCGGGTATAGTTGAATATTGGTTTTGGCATCATTTTCCCTCGCCGATTTCGCCACAACTATTCCGACTTTCGCGATACTAAATAGCGTACCGGAAAGGGTAACGGCCGGTTGATTCCGAGATACAGTTAGTTGGGCCGGGCGGCTCAGAAAATTGCCGGAGTATAGCCCTTTAAATGCACTAATCAAAGAAGTTAATTACTAAAAAATAATGAATGATTTAATCCTTTCCAACCATGTTAATTTTCCTAAATAGGCCTTAATCAAAAACCAAGAAAACGTCCACTTTTTTGTGTGTGTGTTGTGTGCGGTGCGTAGTCTTTGCAAAATCGAATTTGCCGGAGTTTCCCGAAGCACCCCGTATATCAATCAGCCACAATGTATACTCACGAATGAATCGCAATTACTAAGCCATCACAAGCAGTCGTAGCGCAGCCGACCCCAATCAAACGCAAGTGTGTGAACTATAGCATCATGGGATGGTGGGAAAGTGGCGGACGCGCAACAAACAAGCAAACATATAGCAGTCCAGACAAATACCAACAAAAACAGGATTCATCGCGGAAGTATAGTCTACGCACAATACAAACCATGCATGCTTTCCACAGTAATTATACATGGTTTCCAGACCGGGGCCCAGGCGGCGGAAATGACAGTTTCGGCGGACCAATCAAAAGAGCCGCCAGCTTCCACGGAGTTCTATAGACCCACCGACGTCTCTACCCGCGGCCCAATTAATCGCCAGACAAAAGAGGCATAGAAGTCAGAGAAGGGCTTCCATGGGACAACGGGACGCCATTGTAGGGGATGGAAATACGAGACGCGCAGAGTCAGTCCCCGTCCCACATGTAGATCGTGCGTTGATCCCCGACTACGATATCGTAATAGAAGGAAGCGAGCCGCCAATTGACAGCGATGGGAAGTGGCCCTGCCGACGTCGACCCGAGCACTTCCGGTTTCGCCGGAGAGGGCCGATTGAAGGGAGGGTAGACGTCACTTCCGCCAAAAGCGCTCGCGCGCCCATGGAAGGCTGTTAGGATGGCGTAGAAATAAAATGCATTATTTGGGCGCCTATTCGTTTTGCGCATTTTTGTGACAAAGAGGGATACGGAAAACATATTTATCTTATATTTCATTAAAGTATATTGAAAGTCTATTTCAATAACGATTTATAAATACACTACAGTGTGCACAGCCATAATTGCCAGACCCGACAGACGCGGGCAGCTCACTACCAAAACTGAAAGTACACTCGAAAATGAAACTTTCAGCGTGGAGAAGGAAATGCAGCGGAGCTGTACTAGGTGCCGCCGACGCTCACAGATGGCGGTAGCTGTCCAGAGGGTTGTGTCGAGATTTATTTCTCCACGGACACGAAACTGGGGAAACCAGCCCTTAACAGTTTCGCTTATTAACATACAAAAGTATATACATATACATGTTAAGTGTACTTTTTGTAGAAAACATTTTGTATTCTATACGTTCTCGAACCACACACTGTCACCGTTAATTCGCATGCAAATTTTAGCGAACGACGTAGCGTTTCGATATTTTTCGTGACTTTGTTTCCTTCAAGCGTGACCTTGATACGCTGTATCATGTATAGGACACTGTCTCAATGAGTCATTCTTAATTTTTTTTTTCTTTTTTCTTTTTCTTTTTTTTTTTTCTGGGTACGTTCCACCACATCAGAACCTCACGGTTTTTCCGGGGCACTAAAGAAATAAAGGATTATTGCTGTTATAATTATAAAAGTACCGAAAATTAGTGTATACATTTATTATGTCCCTTTTTGCCACGGAGAACTAAAAGGGAGAGAAACTAAAGGTCAGGACTGATAACGGAAGTTTATTTACGTATTTACTTGGCAATACCACTAGCTCCTCTCAACGAGCCATAGTAGAAATGGTTACGGGCACAAATATCAAACAATGGCAGAAACGCAAATCCACTGCCTTTTCAAATTGACCAAAATATGTGAGTGGCGATATCATTTGCTAATTCGCTCCAGTCTTGAATAGCCCGAGGGAAGAAGGAATATCTAAACGGGCGTCCTTTAAACTGTCTCCGTGAGGACCCGCGGACAATAGGGAGTTTTACTAGACCGTGTTTCCCCTCCGCTAACGCTCCGCGACGAAAAAACCGCCCCTGCGCCTGCGCGCCGATGGCCTTGGCTGTAGAGTTCCGGGTAGCGGAGGGGCTTAGCGGAGCGGAAAACACGGCCTACTAAAACTCGCTAATAACGGTTTAAAACCATTAGTACTTTCGGTGCGGAGGCTGGCGTCGTTGAGGATGTTGTGAGAGAGCTGTCAGTTATATTCCTCATCCGCAACGTCGGTAGTCCAGCTAAACTCACCCAACTATCTTTGTGGGAGAAGACTTCGTGCTACAGTTATCAAGAATAAACCCAGTTAATTGCCAAATGAAAAATTCAGTTTTTTTTTTCTTTTTTTTAACGTAGGGCTACAGGTTTTTGAACAAGAAAAACATCAGCGTTACTCGCAGATGTAGATCTCGTGTAAGCGAGGAGATTAATGGGTCATTTAAAACCCGCGCTACTTCCTTTGGTTTATCCCGTTCCTTTATCTTCTTTTTTTTTCTAATTTTCTAACTTCCTCATTTTAATATTAACTTATTACCTTACGGTACATACACGGTACCATCATGGTACACGATAACATAGTAGATTATCGTCTGCTGTGTTGTCACCGTTACTGCCCGTTTTCCTT